CCGGCAGCCTTATCCCCCAGCCTTCTCCTACGCACTCTGTTCTCTCCATGGCAGCTATTTCCAGCTCTCCGAAAGAGGAGCGGCGTGCCAAGCCGGCTTCTGCCTGGTGATTTTCCACAGGCAGCTCCCTTTGCCTGGAATGCCCCCGCCCCCACGTCCATCTGGCAAACTCCTACTCAGCCTTCAAGGCCCAGCTCAAGAGGGCCCCTCTTTTGTGAAGGCACCCAGCAAGCTCAGGCAACCTGAGTCAGCTCCTTTCATGAACCCCACTCCACGGTGAATGTGACATCTCTTTCTTGTTGAAAAAAAAAAAAGTTAATTAGGATATTAGAAAGGCAAAGTGACAGACCTAGTGGGAGAGACGGACACAGCGAGTGTGTGTGTGCATGGGAGAGTGAGAGCAAGAGAGAATTTTCCATCTGCTGGTTTACTTCCCAAATGGCCATAATGGCCAGAGCTGGACCAAGCTGAAGCCAGGAGCCTGGAACTCCGTCAGGGTCTCCCATGTGGGTGGCAGGGGCTCAAGTCCTTGGGGATCTTCTGCTGCCTTCCCAGATGCCCGAGCGGGAAGCCGGAGCAGCAGCAGCACTTGGATGGATATTCTGATATGATGGAGATGGGAGGCCAAGGGGCAGCTCACCTGCAGGGCAGGTGTCTGTAAATACTCTAACATGAAGGCTCAAATGCATACAACTGGTTCTGACACACCTACCTCTCTCTCTCATCAAGGGAGGGAGGCGTGAGACAGATGTTTAGGGCAATGGTTAAGACACTGCTTCCAAGGCCTGCATCCCACACCACGGTGCCTGGGTGTGAGTCCAGCTCCCTGCCACCATGCACCCTGGGAGGCAACAGGTGATGGCTCAAGTCCTTGAGACGCTGCCACTCACAAGGCAGGTCTGCACTGAGTTCTCAGATTCCTGTCTTTGCCCTGACCCAGCCATGATTGGTGAGGGTATTTCATGTAGAGATCTCCAGAAGATTGGAGATTTTTCTCTTATCTCTCTCTCTCTCTCTTTTTTTTTCTTCTCTCTTTCTTTCTCTGTCTCAAATTAAACAAAAAGAAAGTAGGCCCAGCATTTTCCCATAGATCTTGGAAAAACAGCAAGAAAGTCCTTGCTCATAATTAAACCCGCAATTTTTCCACCGAATTGCTTATAATTAGGCATACTTTATAACTCATGCAGCTCTACTAAGAACTCCATCATTAGATGTGCTCAGCTGGGGAAAAAGGACAGCAGTGTTGGGGTGGTGTGATGGCTCCATTGGCTCATCTTTGTTTGCAAGCACCAACATCCCTTAGGGATGCCGGTTTGTGTCCTGGCTGCTCCACTTCCCATCCAGTTCCCTGTATGTGGCCTGGGGAAGCAGAGAAGGATGACCCCAAACCTTGGGACCTTGCACACATGTTGGGGACCTGGAAGAAGCTCCTGGCTTTGGATTGGCTCAACTTTGGCCATTGCTGCCATTTGGAGAGTGAACCAAGCAAATATAAGATCTTTCTTTTTATCATTCCTGTCTGTAAATCTGCTTTTCCAATAAAAATATATAAATCAAAATTTTTTGAAAGGTCTGTAGTGCTATAGGTGTGGCCAGGTTCCTCTGCGTAACAGTAGCCAAGTGGCTGACGCATTGTATTCAGGCATTATTCCATGTCCATTGTAACACACTTACACCCAATCCTTTAATCCTCATCACAATTTCATTCAGTAGCTCCTATTTTTACACCCATTGTAGAGATGAGGACATTGAGACAAAGTAACGTTCATGTGAACATACAGCTAATCAGATGCATGGCTGGAATTCAAATACGGGAAAGCTGGCTTTCCAGACATCTTCCCAGTCTATATTTACGAGCAAAAGATCCATATTTTGGAGATTGGTGTTATGGCACAGTGGATTAAGTCACTGCTGCCTGCCATTCTGGCATCCCATATGGGCACAGGTTCAAATCCAGGCTGCTGCACTTTCCATCCAGTTCCCTGATAATGCATCTGGGGAGGCAGCAGAAGATGGCCCAAGTGTTTGGGCCCCTGCCACCAAGTGGGAAACTCATGTGGTTTCAGATTCCTGGTCTCAGCCTGGCCCAGCCCTGGTCATTGTGGCCATCTTGGGAGTGGACAAGTGATAGGAACAGTCTGACTATAAGTACTTTACATTTACATTGCTCCAGCAAAACATGACCACAAATAAAAATGGAGCTTTGGGAAATATGGGTTGGAATATTATTAATAATCTTGATTGTATCCTCAATGTTGTTATAGTTTTATTAGAAATTGGTGATCCAGAAATAGCTGCAATAGTGGATTTCTTTTGTAAGTTATGCTGTGACTTAATAATGGATATAGTGTGTATGTTAGAGTCTTTTAATAAAGGTGACTCCATTCTCCTAAACTACTGGTGAAATGGGCCTCTCTCTTATCGCTCTGTCAAGAGATCCCAAGGCGCACAAGCCTCCCCCTTTCACCTTTGTCAAGAAGCCACAATGTACGTAGATGCATGTCATGGTAGGAATGATAAAAGAAGAAAAATAATTGTATATTAATGATTAAGTATGTTTGAGAATGAATATGCATGTTTTTTAGAATTAGAAAGCAATTGTTATTGATAGAATAATATGTAATAACCAATCAAAAATAATTGTAAACAAAACTGCCTGTTTTGCCCCTGAATTGTATATAAAACCCATGCATTTTCCAGTCACTGAAGCACAGGCTCCATAGAACGGAGCAAAAAAGCCCTGGGCTTTCACTCGAACTTGCAGGCTCCCACGGAGGCGGAGCCAGAGAAGCCAGTAGGCTCCCACGGAGTCGGAGCCAAGGTTTGGCTTCCACTCGAATTGCAGGCTCCCACGAGGCCGGAGCCCAAAGGCCCAGCAGACTTCATGAGACTGAAGTCAAGAGGCACTCTCGGTGGCTTCCCCCACCCTGTTTGGTGAGTGCTTGCCTGAATAAATGCTTAGAATGCTTGATTGCAAAGCATCCACTCTCGACTCTTGGCATTTGTTCTGGTGACCGGGCTCGGTGTTCGCGACAACAAGAAGATGAAAGATCTCTCTCTGTGGTTCTGACTTTCGAAATAAATAAAATCTTAAGAAGAAGTAGGAGGAGGAGGTAGTTTTGGCTAAGAGCATAGGAGCATGAGGTGGAAGGGACCACGCCCTTTTGCAGCCAAGCACTCCAGTGCCAGAACCTGGGGTGTTGTTCTCGGTCCTCCGGGACCCTGCCTGGGTGCTCAGTGCCACCTGGAACAACCCCCAGACCCTGAGGCCTGGGCACTACGCTAGCTGTTTTTCAGCTCAACCACGGAGAGAGGGATGCCTCCCTGCTGGCATAGCCAGGCTACTGCCCAGTGGGCAGCAACCAAACCAGGAAGCTGGCTGAAGGTCAGCTGGACCCTCCCCCCGCCCGGGGTGCCCCTTTATGAGGGGACTTCAGGCCGGGGAAACCTGTGAGGCCTCTTTCCTACGGCCTAAGTGGCAGTCCCTCAAACCTTCTGCACTCCATCAGGGACTCTCAGAGCAGGCAGCATCCCAACAGGTGCAACGCTAACTGGGGATGGGGTGCAAGGCAGAGGTGAGCCCGTTGACTTGATCCTTGCAAAGAGCATGAAACTCAGAGACCTTCGATGCCCCGACTCCTCTGCCAACGCCAATCTGTTTTCTAAATAATTAGGAAACACCGCCCTCCCGTGGCCTTGGGTGGGTAAAGCGCCCGGCCGGACGGGTGTGAATTTCCTGAGACCCGGTAAACAATAAAAGCGAGCCCACAGCTAAAGACAAATTTGAGTTCTTTTTAAAGGGGCGCTTTTGCGGAAGGTTTCTGAATAAGTCCATAGTGTGAACTCTCTGATTTGGCTTTTTCAAGTGCTAGGCCAAGGCTGTAGGGATGCTGAGCGCAGGGGTCTCTTCTGCGCGTGCCTCCCCTCTGACACCTGTGCTCCTTCCTGGCGGGGGGGCTCGGCCGACCCAGCGCCCTCCAGGCCGCCTCCATCCTGGGTCTCTTATCCCGGTAGTCCCGCAACTGGACAGACCTTCCTCCCACCGTTCCCACCATTTTGGAGTTGAGTGGTTTGGGACACCTGTGGAATGGGGTGACAGCTTTTCTTCCTCCGGGCTACTGTAAGAGGGGAATCCTCCTATGCGCAAAGAGGGCCTTGCACATCGGGTCCTTCCCTCGGAGCTGCCCTATCCCGCCCCCGGGTGGGGGTGGGGGCTGCGATTTGACACCTGAGATTTACCTGGTCCTCAGCAAAGTGCACCCCCCCCCCCAACACCAGTATTGATCCTCTCGGGCCTTGGGTGTCGCTCCCGTTTCTAGGCGTTGGCCGTAGGCCTGGGGCCAACTTGGGCTTGGTAAGGGCGCCTGGACTGTGCGCGCAGCTGTCGGCAGGTGCGTGGGTGCAGGCCGGGTGCAGCGCAGGGTGGGGGCGAGAGGAGGCGGAGCGGGCGGCCTTCCCTGCCAGCCGCTCCCTCTCCTGGGACTGCGGGCGGATAATTCCATCCCCGTGGGACTCGGCGGCAGGCCTCACCCCGCGGCCCGGCCGATTGGCTGCCGGTCCCGCCTGGCTCCCGCCCTCCGTGCCCCCAGCGTCCCAGGTGCCTCGGGTGCCCGGTGGGGATCTCTGTTTACGGAGCAAGCCCCGTCCGGGTCGGGCTCCTCCTCGGCTCTCGCTCCCCGCCCGCCCGGGAAACGCGGAGAAAACCCGGCCCTTCCCTTCCCTTCCCCCCACCGCCCGGAGAGGTCGGGTAAGGGGGAAAAGGGCGTTTGGGGGAGGGGAGCCCCGGGGCGCCCTAACCCGGGAACCTCGCGCGAACCCAGAAGTTCTTCCCCTCGACTGCGCACTGGATCCTGTGCGGGTCCTCGCGTGCCCGGGGCGGGGTCTAACTCGCCCGTCCACCGCGGGACAGCCGGCCAGAGGCTGGACCCCCGGAGGATAACTTGGAGCCGTCACCAACAGGTGTTTCTCCACCTGCCACCCTTCTTCCAGTCCTGCAGACGGCGATGACCGCCAAGCTGGCCGGACCCCCGGATGGGGGCTGGGGCTGGGTGGTGGCAGCCGCGGCCTTCCTGGTAAACGGGCTCTCCTACGGGATCCTGCGTTCGCTGGGCCTTGCCCTCCCTGACCTCGCCGAGCACTTTGACCGAAGCGCCCAGGACACGGCGTGGGTCAGCGCCCTGGCCCTGGCCGTGCAGCAGGCTGCCAGTGAGGGAGGGGGCCCCGAGGTGGGAGGGGCGCGGGGTGGAGGGGCCTGGAGCGCAAGGCGGGAGACCCCCCTGCATAGGCAGAGCGCCCGAAAAACGGCGACCCGAGGCAAAGCGTGGGTCGCCAGGTCACAGGGGAGGAGCTGTTGGGCTAGGAGAGGAATTTCAAGTCAGCCTGGCAGCCAAAGATAAGCTTGGTAGAGCTTGGGGTGCCCCGGGGGCGTGTCTTCCGTTGATCCCACCCCTTTCCAGGCCCAGTGGGCAGCGCCCTGAGCACGCGCTGGGGGTCGCGCCCCGTGGTGATGGTCGGGGGCGTCCTCACCTCGCTGGGCTTCGTCTTCTCGGCTTTCGCCGGGAGTCTGCTGCACCTGTACCTCGGCCTGGGCCTCCTCGCCGGTGAGGGCAGTGTCAGGCGTGACGGGGGGCTGGGATTGCGCGGAGGGACCCCCGCCTTCATGCCGCCCCTTTCGCTCGCAGGCTGCGGCTGGGCGCTGGCCTTCGCGCCCGCGCTGGGCACCCTCTCGCGCTACTTCTCCAGCCGTCGAGTGCTGGCGGTGGGGCTGGCGCTCACGGGCAACGGGGCCTCGTCGCTGCTGCTGGCGCCCGCCCTGCAGCTCCTGCTGGACACGTTTGGCTGGCGGGGTGCCCTGCTCCTCCTGGGCGCTGTCACCCTCCACCTCACTCCCTGTGGTGCCCTGCTGCGACCCCTGGCCCTCCCTGGCGACTCGGCGAGCCCTCCCCGGGGCCCCGTGGCAGCCCTGGGCCTGGGTCTCTTCACTCGCCGGGCCTTCACAGTCTTCGCTTTGGGCACGGCCGTCATCGGGGGAGGGTACTTCGTACCCTATGTGCACTTGGCCCCCCACGCCTTAGATCGGGGTCTGGGCGGGTACGGGGCGGCGCTGGTGGTGGCGGTGGCCGCGGTGGGGGATGCGGGCGCCCGGCTGGTCTGCGGGTGGCTGGCGGACCAGGGCTGGGTGCCTCTCCCGCGACTGCTGGCTGTGTTCGGGACTCTGACCGGACTGGCGGTGCTGGCGGTGGGTCTGGTCCCCGGGGTTAGGAGTGAGGAGGGCTGGGGGGGACCCCTGCTGGCCGCCGCTGGCGCCTACGGACTGAGCGCCGGGAGCTACGCCCCGCTAGTGTTCGGCGTGCTCCCGGGACTGGTGGGCCTCGGAGGAGTGGTGCAGGCCACCGGGCTGGTGATGATGCTGATGAGTCTGGGGGGCCTCCTGGGCCCCCCGCTGTCAGGTAAGGGCCTGAGCTGGCAGAATCGCTCCTCGTCGCACCTGTCGGCGCTGGGCTGCCAGGCCCTTCAATTCCTCACCTCCTCCCTCAGGTTTCCTAAGGGACCAAACGGGAAACTTCACCTCGTCTTTCCTAGTATGCAGCTCATTCATCCTCTTGGGCAGCTTCATCTACATGGCACTGCCGGGGGCACTGCCTTCCTGCAGGCCAGCCTCACCTCCAGCCACGCCTCCCCCAGAAAGAGGGGAGCTGCTTCCCGCCCCTCAGGTAGCCCTGCATCCCCCAGGAGGCCCGCCGGCCACACTGGACACCACTTGTTGACCACTTCTTGTTGGAACCCATCCCCCCCAATAAAGGCTTTTTATCTGATTTTCCTGACAGCACCAACTGGTAGCCAGCCAAGGACTCAAAGTGTAGGACCCTGACAGGCCAAGGGAGGGAGGAGATATGAGGAACGGGGTGACCTGGCAGGTCCATCCATCTCTGTGTCCAAATCTGTGCCATAACTGGGATTCATGAAGTCACCTGCCAGTCAGTTGTCTGCTTTGGTGGGCAGGGAAAGGCGTCCTTGAGTGCCATGTGCCCTGTGCCCAGCGCCCTCGGGCACTGGCTCCCCTGGACTGACTCCTGCCTGCATTTCAGTCATCCTCTGTGGCCCAGTGGGGTCTCCCAGAATCCTGGGCCCACACTCCACCTTGCCTCTTAGCTTCTAGTCTTGTCTAAGTCACAGACAGAAGTGGGCAAGAGGGGGGTGAGTGGGCAGGAGCTGTGGCTCAGATGAGTTCAGGTTCAAGTGCTGGGGTGGGGGAGTAGGGGGCTGCTGGGGAGGGGCCACCAGAGCTCCCAGTCCCCGCCCCTGCCCTGGTCCGCCTTGACTTCCTCCGATCCACTGGCCCTCGGTGAGTTACTGGTGCTTATCCGGTTTTCTTGTGCCGTGTCCTCTCAAGGGGACATCCTTGAGCCCCAGATGTGCGACTTCCGAGGAGAAACATGAAGGGGTCGCGCCAGAGGTCACACGTGAGCGACCTCAAGTCTCTTGGCCTTGGAGATGATGAGTGGAAATTCCCACTTTCTAGAATGTCTTTCTAGAACTCCTGGATCCTTCAGGAAGGTTTGGAGGAGCTGAACAGAGGGCCAAAAGCCTGAGGAACATTCGGGGGGTGGGGAGAGGGAGGCGGGGTCTCACACACCTGGCAGGAGTCGGGGGCTTGCCCGGGTGGGGGCGGCTCTGGAAGATGAAGGCACTATGGCTGTGTGGCTGTGCAGACTGAGCAGGAGTTGGCCGGTCACCCGGGGCAGGCTTTCTGGACCTGTCAGCCTCTTTGCCGAGCTCAGGCATCTCCCGGTCCCTCCTCCTCAGGAAGGGGGCCTTTGCTGTCCAGGGCCTCTGTGACTGGGGTCTGGGGGGACCCAGAGGTGGCTGCTGGGGAGCAGGGGAAGAAGCGAGGCAGGGTGAGGAGAACCGAGCTCCCTGCCAGCAGGAAGGCCCCGGCCACCACAAAAGAAGCCGTGTAGTTGCCAGTCACATCTCGGAGGTAGCCTGGGTTCAAGAGAAGAAGACATGAGGGTGAGCTGTTGGCGGGGCACTGATGGCTTGGGTGCGTTGTGGGGCAGAGGGGAGACCCCAGGTGCGCCTGGCTGATCTCAGGAACCCTGGTCTCAGCCACTGTCCCGTCTTCGACAAGGACCTCGGGACCAGCGCATGGGCACGTGAGAGTCCACACGAAGTCAGGCGTTCCTGCGGGTTCCTTGCAGGCTACCTTGGGCTTTTCTACACCTTCAGTTAATAGTTAAGAGGTCAGGGTTTCAGGTCTGAAGGTCCCCCTGTTAAGATCCCAGAGAACTTTGACCAAATGGTAAAGATACTCAGCGGGCCAGAAGAAATGGAAGACACTGGAATGTGTGCCTGACTAGGTGTAGCAGGGTTTCCTGAAAGCCCAACCCGGAGGCATCCCAGCCAGGGTGCCTCATCTGTCTCGGTCGTTCCACTCGCACCTCTTTGGAGTTCTCAGGGTCACGGATCCACTTTGGGGTGGCAGTGCTGGGCCATGCTAGGAGCAGGCTGCACTGACATCAGGAAGCCATGCTAGCCCCCCCCCACCCCCCAGCAAAGCCCACCATCCTCAATGAGAAGAGCTCCTTCCCCATCCCACCCCACCCCAGGTGGGTGACCTGGCAGCCCTGGTCACCCACAAAACCCTTACCTGACAGAGGAGCCCCCAGCAGCCCCCCGATGCTCTCTACCATCTGCACCAGTCCCAGGCCACAGTAAATCCTTGCAGTCCCCACCAGTTCAGGCAGCACGGAGAAGGCCACGGGGGTCAGAGCCCCTGAGGTGAAGCCATAAGCCACGGCCAGGATGACGAGGGCCGTGGAGGCCCGGGCCACAGGGAACAGGGCCAGGGACACCCCAGTGAGGGTACTCCAAAGCATGAGAAGTCGTGCCACGGGTCCCGGGACTGCATCTCCCAGCCACCCCGAAGCCACGCGCCCCACAAGGTCAGCGATGGCAGCCACTGACAGCAGGAAGGCAGCAGGCAGTAGGTCCCAGCCTAGGTCCTGCAGGTGAGCTACCAGATGGACATAGGGGATGAAGTAGCCAGTGTTGATCAGGGTGAGGGCCACCGTGTACCGCAGGAAGGGGCCTTCATGGAGAAGCGAGGTGAGCTGGGCTCCAGGGCCGCCCACGGCAGGGTCCTCAGCCAGGGACAGGGGTCGCAGGAGAGCTCCACAGGCCACCAGGTGAAAGGACAGGGCGGACACCAGCAGCAGGGCCCCCCGCCAGGCGTAGTAGCTGACCAGCCACTGGAAAAGGGGGGCAAAAGCAAACGAGGAGAGGCCCACACCGGTCAGGGCCAGCCCTGTGGCCAGGGATCGTCGGCGAGAGAAGTAACGGGACAGGCAGGCCAGGGTCGGAGTGAAGCTCAAGGCCCAGCCAGAGCCTATCAAGAAAAGAAAAAATGGGGGATAGGGACTTTAGGGTGTCAGCCCTCCATTAATCAACCCAACACTGCCCAGTGCAGACAGGGGCCTTGGCCTTGGACTGCTGAGACTGGCTTTGACCCTTCCTGTGTGCCTCTGTCTCCCTCTTCCGCAGACAGGGGTTAATACACTCCGTGGGCTTGCAGAGGCTTAGAGGGAATGACTGCCAGGTAACCAGGTCAGAACTTTGGAGTTGAACCTGGCTGTGTGACCCTCAAGTTTGGAGTTGCATAAGCTTTGAGGGTCTTTCTTTATCTCTCAGCAGCACAGGGATATCTGTCTCACAGCCAACCACCCAGCATGGTTTGACTGTCACTTCTTCCTTTTGCAAGCCACTCACACTAGTCCTGGGTTTGCATGGGGGTGCTTCAGACAGTTCACAGAAAAACATATATATTTAAATTGATGCACAAGTTTCAGCTTTTTGGTGCTAAAATACATTTGTCTTTTAATTCAATATTTTGCAAGGACCTTTTGAAGTATCTGTGCTTCCTATGGGTTCAGCGGTTGAGACACACATGTCCACCACAGCCTGGGAGCTCAATGTTGGGTCTCCCATGTGGTTGGTAGGGACCCAAAGCTGAGCCATCAGCTGCCCCTTCCCAAGTGCAAGGGTAAGAAGCTGGAGGGACTCTCCCCACCCCATTCCCCTACCACGAATATCTGAAGAATTCCCTTCAGGGTGCAGGTGCAAGCCCGGGCTCCCTCTGCCTTATGGAAGATCAGTAAGAATGCAGGTCAAAGACACTGGCGTCCTGGGCCCGAGTCTCACCTGAGAGCAGCCCGATGCTCAGGTACAGGTGGGTTAAAGAGGTAGCAAAGGAAGCCAGCAGCATCCCCAAAGCAGCCAGGACGCCCCCAGTCATCACCACCGGCCGAGGCCCCAACTTGGTGCTCAGGGCACTGCCTACTGGACCTGGGGAAGGGGAAGGAGTTTGGCGAAGTCTCGGGCGTCCTCTCCGTCCCCCTTGCCCTTGCCTCGTCGGGGCGCCCCCATTCCACAACCTCCCCCGAGAGTCGCAGGGCCTGGGGGGCAAAGGGCACTCACTGCCGAACTGCTGCACGGCGATGCCAATGGAGGCGATCCAGGAGACGCGCGCCGCCTGCTCCTCAAACGCCGCCACGAACTCCACGAAGAAGACCCCGAAGGAGCGGAGCACCCCGAACACCAGCGCCGACTGGAAGAACGCCGACAGCACCACCATCCAGCCCCAGCCCCCATCGGGGGGCTCGGCCCTGAGCGCCATCGGGCTGGCCAGCCTGGGGCTGCCAGATGTTGTTGCAAAGCCTCTGCCAGCAGCCGCGCTCAGGTCGCCCTGACCCTGCCCGGCGGACGAGGCTGGGCCACCTGGGCGCCTGCGCTTTTCCCCAAGAGGGGCGGTCTAGGAGGGCAACCTGGGGCCCGCAGCGCCCGGAGGCGTGGCCCCGCCGGCCTGCCGCTGTGCGCCGGGGCCCGGGCTGGAGCGATCCGGGGGGACCTCCGCGTTCAGCTGGCTGCCGGCGCGGGGTTGGGATGCCGGGGGCGTGCCCGTCTCCGTGTGCATTATCAGTTTGATCCTCGAAGATACCAGCATACCAGCACCTGGCCAAGCCGGCCAACATCCAGGTCCACGGCTGGCCAATGCGCACGCGGGATACGCGAGCCAGGGGCGGAGTCGGAACTGCAGGGCGGGACTCGCCGCTTTGTGCTGGAGCCAGACCCGAAGTGGGGCGCATGCGTAAGAAGGGGCGTCAGGGAGCTGGCTAGGTAGGGGGGGGTCCACGTGATCTGAGGATTCACTGGGAGGACGCAGAAGCAAGTCCTCACCTGCTCATGCAGGAGGGTTGGGAGTTGCCAGGCTGGCTGGATGAGGCGACGCTCCTAACGCAGGGCCAGGCGGGGTGGGGGTGTCCGAGGCCACCAACACAGAAGCCACCCACCCCATACCCCGCATCTAGACGCTCAGATCCCTGAGGCTGAGGGGGCATGGGTCGCCTGCTCCTCTCGCCCCTGGCGTCCGTTTCTACCATCGGAACCTGTTCAAGTCCCTTCTGTTCCCGCTGACAGGAATCCTGGCCACGGAAACCAAAAATAACCACGAAAGGAAGGGCGGCTGTGAGCTCACGTGGGCTCCCACCCGTGCTGCTGCGACCTATCCCTTCCTCCCTGGGCCTGGAGCCTTGCCCGCTAGTCGCCTCCACTTCCCAGCTACAGTTTTTGATCTACTGATGGGATAAAGAGGAAAGCCATGACGCTGGCCTCTGGAGTCGTCACCCCTTCCAGCCACCCCGCAGGCCAAGGCCCTTCCCCAGTCTTGGAGTCCGGTTCCTCCCTAACTCGGAGGTGGCACCCACGGGCTTAACTTCCTGTTCCTGCTTTAGAAGTCAAGCTCCCAGGGCCGGCTGTCCATAGCCAGACCGGTGGGGGGGAGGGGAGCAGAGGCAAGAATGGGGGTGAACATTTGGATCCTATAATTTCATATGTGGGAAATGGAAATAGTCATACCCAACTTTCTCTCTGTTTCACGCATAGATTTAAAACCTTGGCTGCTGGTGGGGGAAAGCTGTAGACATTGGCATGGCCGCCCTGCTGTGTTTACTCGCTCCATCTTTGGAATCAGATCACAGTTCCAGCCTTGGCTTCATCACTTATTAACCTAGTCAAGGCACTGAATCTCAACCCCTGGGCTTCCCCATCAGTAGAGGAGGGACAGCAGCCCCTGCTCCTTAGGGCTGTTGTGGGTGTGTTTATGTGTGTTCAGTTGGAAAAATGAGTAAATTCAAATGCTTACTTCAGCAGGAGATTAATATCATCTCATAGAGCAGGAGGTAAGTCATATTAGCTGGTTTTATCTTCTTCAACAGGGTATAAACTGTCATAGAAGGTTTTTAGTTTAGGTTTCTGTTTTGTTTGGAAATCTATTCTGGGCCATGGGTCTTAGACGATTAAGAAAGACACAGCCGGGCCCGGCGCGGTGGCGCAAGTGGTTAAAGGTCCTCGCCTAGCACGCCCAGGATCCCATATGGGCGCCGGTTCTAATCCCGGCAGCCCCGCTTCCCTTCCAGCTCCCTGCCTGTGGCCCGGGAAAGCAGTCGAGGATGGCCCGAAGCTTTGGGACCCTGCACCTGCGTGGGAGACCCGGAAGAGGCTCCTGGCTTTGGATCGGCATAGTATCGGCCCGTTGCGCTCACTTGGGGAGTGAATCATCCGATGGAAGATCTTCCTCTCTGTCTCTCCTCTCTGTATATCCGCCTTTCCAATGAGAAAATAATAAAAATAAATCTTTAAAAAAAAAAAAAGAAAGACACAGCCAGCCACAGAATGCTGGGAAGGAGTGCACAGACTGGTGCTAACTGGCTTTTTTTTTTTTTTTTCTTTCACAAATGAAAAAGTTCAGGCCCCAAAGGTAGGTGCTGTCAGAATTAGCAGTCCCTGCTGGGCAGCACAGAGCTGCACACCCAAGACAGCTGCAGGAAGAGGGAGAGGGTGGAGTTGACATGTTGGGTCCGTCTGCACTGCCTTCTCACCGGCGCCTCTAGCAAACCCCCCAACTCCTATCCATTTCCCTTGGTTTTGGTGGCAAGAAGGAGGGATCCCAAGCATTAAGCCCCCCACCTTCCCCTCCCAGGGTCTTGTTAGAACTTCTGGCTGTCCGGTTTCTTCCTGCCACCTCCACGCATCAGGCAGGAAGTGACCTCAGAGCGGCAGGATGCAGGTGCCTCCGGAGCAGCACCATGAAGTCACTGGTTCCTACACAATGAGCCGGAAGGCCAGGGCAGGGCAGAGAGGCGCAAGGACTGTGTGAGAGGTCTGGAGGGGTGGGACACTGAGACGGACACAGAGTCCGAGGCATCCTCCAGGAGAGCAGGATCCTGGGTCCCCCAAATCTCCCCTCAAGCAAGAGCCTGGGACATGGCAGGTGGCATAGCGAGGCTTCTTTATTCCAAGGATCTGATTGATTTTTTTTTTTCCCCGAAATCTCACATCTCCACTTTCAGGCGCTCTCTCCCTCCCCATCCATTCTGCTTCCTCCTCACATTTCCCCTCTACCTCCCTTCCTCCTTGCACTCTGTCATGGGGTGGTGAGAAGGAAAAGAGAAGGAAGAGAGAAGTAGCTTTCTCACAGTCCTCCAGCAATTGACCTTGAGAAATTTCTACCCCACAAATTCAAAAGTGCTTCTGACTCTCCCACCCATGTCCTAGCATCAACAAGGCCCCAGGGCGACAGGGGACAAAGCTGTAAATCCAAGGCCTCAGAGCTTTATCCAAGTTTCCAGGCACTCCACCCAGCCAGGAGACAATCCCATTCCTAACTTTCTACCTACTTGGCCTACCCCCCAAAAAACGACAACCCTCAATCCACTTCTTATTCCCAACCTGGAAACTGTCAACTAGAAAGCGCCTTTGACCCACCAACTAATTCTTTCCATTTCTAATCCCTACAATAATCCCACAATCAACCCCGAATGGAACTCCGCCCCTTTTCCTCTTCCCGTGGAAGGTATTGGTGCAATCACCTGTCCCAGACAGGAATGCAGGCATGGGTCGCAGACCCAGCTTATCTCTGGTGAGAAAGTGATCAAGCACCTGTGACTTCAAGAGGCAAAGAAAGTTCTGGAATCTGGACACTTGCTGGAAGATGTCCAGAAACCCAATAAAGGAAGAAGGGGCTCACTTCAGGCAGAGAACCCCGAGAACACAGACTCAGTTGCTTCTGCAGCAGAAGTCGGTTCCCTCTAATGAAGGTGAAAATTGTGTGAGTCTCCCCAGAGTTAGAATATTCACAGAGAACAGGAAGAATCAGGAAAAGGTTAACATCCTGTTTGATAGGGAGTTTTTGATCTCTCCCCCAGGGAGGAATCAGGCTAAGAACAGGTGCCAGTCGGAAGATGCTAGACTCGCCTGTAGTCTGGTGAGTTCTATCGTGAGATGAATAAAGGAAGACCCCACGTGAGCAGGTGAATGAATGGGGCCACCCTGCAGGAAAGACTCCCACCTCCGCTCAGGGTGCCAGACTTCAGTCCCGACTGAAGGGGGGGCATTTCCTAGCTCCATTTTGCACACACCCAGAGAGGTTCTTAAGAACCTTTGAAGAACAGGGAGGGGAAAAAAATCTACATCCATTTCTAGCCTGCTAGAGAACCTACAACATCCAGGAGAACAAGGAGGGTTCCTGACCCAATTCCACAACCCCACATGTTCCCCGGGGCTGCCCTCAAACAAGTCAAGGTTCCAGACCCAGCACAGGAAGGGCAGGACCCAGAGAACCCCTTTCTCTGTTTAAAACAAACCAACAGGAGCAAGGACAAGTCTCAAGGTAACAGTTCCAACTGTAACACAGCCACGCAGGCCACAGGGCACATAGCCAAGTGCTATTGATCTCTGCCAGCAGAGCCGTGACCAATTCTTCTGCGTTGAGGTCACTTTGGGTCACACTTGTGGAAGAGGGGAGTGGGAAATGCCATACAGTGGAGGCCTCAGTGCACCCAGGGGCCTCAATAAATTATATGTACAGAGACACTACATGTGCTAGGGGCTGGGGCTGCAGCAGGAGGGCAGCTCCCTGAAGGAAAGCAGACCCCCCAGGCTCTCACTCCTGTCCCCCCAGCCCCTGCCTAGACAATCTGCATCGTGGGGAAGAGGTTTTGACCAGCAAAACAGAGGCAGATCTCACCAGGGTCTGCCCCTCCTGCTCTCCCCAGGAAGAAATGGAAAGTGGCGGTAGTTTCTCATACTGGAGTGGCCCTGCACACTCCCTCCCCCCACCCCATGCCTGAGCATGTAGCTTTGCAGGCCTTTAGAAAGCAAATGTGGAGGGAGGGTGGGCCTGCACTCAGCTAGGGCCCCCCCAGAATGTGGTAGTGCACTTTGGTGTTGGTGGCAGCTCCATGTCTCTGGCGCAGGTGCAGCCGGAGTTGACTCTTATGCCGGAAATGCAGGCCGCAGGGGTCACACTGTGGAGGGACATCTGGGTCAGTCCCCCCTCACACACACCACCACCTTTTTTCAGTTGGTCCTCATTTCCTCCCACGGCTTTAGGCCTTAGCAGGAGTCCCTCCTATCCAGGGAAAACGGCGCCCAGCCCAGGAGATGTACCTTATACAAAACCTACCCCCGCCACCTCCCACCTCCTCTTTTTCTCCCAGATATCTAGGATCTGCAAGGCGTGCCCTTCTCGTAGCCCCACCCCTAGATGGAAGGAAGGCAAATCCAGGTCCAAGGCCTCGCAGGGTACCCACGTGGTAAGGCTTCTCTCCCGTGTGGATGCGAACGTGACTCTTGAGCGTCTGCAGGTGGCGGAAGCGGGTCCCGCAGGTGGGGCAAGGGTAAGGCTTCTCCCCGGTGTGGATGAGCACGTGTGCGCGCAGATGCGCTACCTGGAAGGGGAAGAAGCTTCAGACCGCGCCTGCTCCCTGGGCGGGGTCGACGTTTGTCCTCTAGCGCCCGCAGGGCTGCGCACCTGCACAAAACGCGAGCCGCACGTCTCACACTTGTAAGGCTTCTCTCCAGAGTGGATGCGGCTGTGTGTCTTCAGGTTGGCCGGCCGGTTAAAGCGAGCTCCGCAGATGGAGCAGTGGTAGGGCTTTTCCCCTGAAGGCGCGGAAGGAAGGAAGGGCGCTCAAGGACTTGGTCCCCTCTAAGCTGCGGAATGTGACCCACGACGCGTTTCTCCTCACCTGTGTGCACCGTGCGGTGGCTGGCCAGGTTGCCCTTGTAGCGGAAGGCAGACCGGCAGAGTTGGCATTTGTAGGGCTTGTCTTCCTCCCCAGGAGCTGAGGGGTCCAGCCCCGATGAACACCCAGGGACAGCCTCACAGTTCTGGCAGCTGAAGAAATCACTTCCTGGGAGGGGCATGGGTGGGGAGCGTCACAGTTATTGTGTGCACAGCTTCCTGGCACTGCCCAGCAGCAGCTTTGCTGTGGGCACAATTTAATGTAAAGACTTCTGGGAGCTCTGTGTGACCCTCCCAAGACTACAGGGTGGGTACACTGGGACCGAGATCTGATTCCACATCTGACTTCTTCTAGGGTGCCCCCCCCAGATTCCTTCAGCCTCCCTTGCTGGATGAGGGCTTCTGTTCCTGTCTCCCCTCTGGCCCTGGTCTGGGTGAACAGCATGCCAGAGCGGCGCTGCCAAGCCCCTGGCCAACCACTCAGCCCCAGATGAGAGGGACCAGAGAGCCCCAATCTTTGTACCCAGGGAGCTTAAAAGCATGCTGGTGCCGGGTTATGCAGCGGATTCAGCTGGCACCTGTGATGCCAGCATCCCTTACTGGTTAGACTCCCCAAGCTGATCCTGCTTCTGATCTAGCTCCCTTGCTGATGTGCCTGGGAAAGCAGCAGAGGAAGGCCACCCACATGGGAGACCCAGATGGCGTTCCAAGGCTCCTGGTTTGGGCCTGGCCCAGCCAAGGCCATATTGCAGCCATTTGAGCAGTGAATGAGCCGGTGGAAGATCTCTGTCTCTCTGTCATTTGTCTCCCAAATAAATTATATATAAACAACACATGTTGGTGCTTGCACCCCACTTCCAGGTATTCTGATCTGGGGCGGGCAAAGGAGATTTAAAAGCTTCCCATATGATTCTAATTTGCAGTCGAGTTTGGGAATCATTGTCCCCTGTTGCCATTTTCCCCAATATTATTATTACAGCATGGTTATTTAGTAACAGCTACAAGACTAACCTCCTTCTCTATAACTTCATCACAGCATTGTGGCATAGACAAAGACAGAAAATATAGTATCATATTGACAAAGTATATTTCAATATTTCACTGGGAGTCCTTTTATCTGGGCGATGCCTACTGCATTTGGCCCAAATCGGCCTTCAGCAGCCACAGGGGGAAAAAGGATGTGTGTGTGTGTCTTACCTGGTGGTGGGCGAGCACGCTCAGTGGTCTCTAGAGTCCGAGGAGTGAGGAGTTGGGGGATATGGACCGGTGCCCCGCACTTGAGCTGGGCAGCGGCAGCAGACAGAGACAGCCTAGGCAGATGGGCAAGGCCCAGAGAGACGGGTTAGGGGGACATTACAGGAGCAGGGCTGTTCCCTGGGAGAACCTGGAGTCCAGGCCATCTTCTGGAAGTGAGCCTATGCTGACCGTGAACTGTGGTGCTGGTCTACTGTCTGACCAACTTCCTAGGGGTGGGTTGGGGTCTCTGAGAGCTGCCCAGGCTTAAAGCTCTTGCCTCCCAGCTATGACAGGCCCAGATTCTGTATCTACCTGCTCTGGGAACCAGGAACGGAACCTTCCTCGCTGCTGCTACTGCTGCTGGAGGCCTCATCTCCACTGGGGAGCCTGGCTTGGGGACAAGGTTGACCGGAACTCCTCTCTCCCACCAGGCTGCCTGCTTGGGAGCTCTGGGAGTTGAGGACGATGAATTTGTACTTCTTCCAGTTGCAGGCTTTGGGATCAGGGCTGGCCGGACTTGGGGGACCTTGGTTGCAGCTGCGAGATTCAGTGGGAGGGTCTGGGTGCCCTTCTGAGCGCCTGGGGCTGCCTGGTGGAGGAGCCGTTGGTGGTGTGGGGGGTTCTGTCACGAGGGGCTGCAGAGAGATGCCCAGAGGTTCACAGCTGGAGAAAAACGGGATGAACATGAGTGTATTTTGGGATGTGGAGACATCCCTGCAGTGCCACCTCACCTGCTGGGAACACCTGGCTGGTATGAGGGGTGAGCCGGGTGCGGGGGTGTCTCTCACCTGGTCTGGATGAAGCGGTGGCATGCTTGGACCACATGTTCCATCTGTAGGTAGGTGGCCGCCGCCAGGACGGCAGGAGCAGTGGCAGGAGAGAGACGCAGGCGAGAGGTGTACATGAAGTCCAGAAGAGGTGCGAAGCCTCGCGCTTCTGGGCCTCCAGGCAGGGAGAGCACCTCCACCCCGACTCCGGCTCGGCCTCGGAAAATTGAGTAGAAGAAGCCACTACACAGGAGGACAGAGAAGTCAGGTTAGAGACTCGTCTCCCTGCTGTTCCTGCGCCCCCAATTCTGGAACACTGTCTAGGGTTTTTCTTGGGAAGCTGGCGTCCTATTCTCGCACTAGGGTCCTGTTGCTCCTCCTCTGTCCTACCCTCCCCCTTCCTTGCCCTCGAACCTGCAGGCGATCAGAACGGCCTTGTGTGCCCGCAGGGGTTGCCCGCCAACCAGCAGCGTGACATCCGTGAGGATCCCGCGCAGGCGCAGTTCATTCAGGTTGCCAAGCACGTCGGAGGAATGGCGAGTGAACTCTCGGACATAGCCCAGCGCACCCTCGGGAGCTGCAGGCGATCCCATAGTGACGCCGGCCTGCACGCGAAAGGGCTGTGGGATGCAGGCCACCCACAAGACGCCTTCCTGCCTCCCTATCCCCACCCCAGGTGCAGCCGGGGCCTCTGTTCCCCATTCCCACCCCGACCCACGCCCCTTGGCTGATTCACCCTGTGCGTTTCTACTGCGTGTGGGGATGCGGCAGGCAACCTCCTTTGTCCGCCCCGTCGCTAGTGGCTGACTTCTCTGCAACCCCGATCCTCAAGTGTGGGAGGTAAAGGCTCTCACACCCAGTCTCAGCTCCCCACCGCTACGCCCCACACCACCCAGGTCTGCTCCTCTAGTCCTCGACCCGGCCCCAGCACACTGCGCGCATCAGCCAGTGCCATCAGTCAACCCCGCGCGGCCTGGGACCCTGGGACCCAGCGGTGTCTCTTACCCCTGGCCTGCAGGGGCCCCGGCTTCTTTCCTCGAGGGGGCGGGTCTCTCTGCGCTCCGGACCTCGGGCCCTTTATCTGGCCGGGATGGCGGGGGCGGGGGTAGAGGTGGGGTGAACGCCTGGGTCCGTATCCTTCCTTCCTCCCGCGCGCCCCAGATGGCGAGCCCAGGGCGGAGTCTCTGTCGCCAGGGCGGGACCTGACACACGCAGGGCGGTTGTCACCTAGTGGTCTCAGGGTCATCGAACGTGGACTCGAGGGTGTAGATAGTGGAACTGGGGAGGGGTGTCCAGGTTGACCTCAGCCGTCGTGGCGAGGGGTGGGTGGGAGGGGCGTGGACAGCAAAAACTGGTGTGAGGGCTTTGGAAGGGGGTGCCAGGAGCTTGTGACTAGGGGTGGCTGAGGGGAGTGAGGATAGCTGGACATGCGCCCCCCCCCTTCCGATGTGCCGTGCACAGGGAGAAGAGAGAGAGCACCAGGTTGGGGGCGAGGGCCGTTGTGGGGTCCCAGACGGTGGGAGGGTGTGGTGTGAGTGACAGCGGGGTCCACGGAGAGGGGGGCTGTGGTCGGGCGGGGGAGAGAGAGGGCGGATATGATTTCTAGTTGGTTTCCTTCCATTGTCCCTCGACCGGACGGCTCCACCAGCTGCTTCCCCTCGAGTTGGTGGGGAAAGCCCCGGGTGGGGGGTCGAGACCTAGGCGCCCGGCCTCTTGCTCCCGACTCGCTTCTGAGTCTTTCTGGGGACCCCGAGGGACGGGCTCCGGCCCACGGCCCGCTCGCTCGCTCTCCCCAGTCCCAGCTCCCCGGGCCGCGGGCACGCGCCGGTCGCCTGCGCTCCGAGGCTTGGCGGGACGCCGGGGTCCAGCGCGGCAAGTGGGCGAAGCTCGGCAGTGTCTGGCTCCTTCCACGAGGGGGCGGACGCGCACCAGCCTCGCCTCGCCCCGCCGTTTCCAGCCGGCAGGGGCAGTGCACAGAGCCGGGCCCCTCTGTCTCCTGGAGGCCGGGGTCTTGGGCTGGAACAGAGTGGGGCTGAGTGAGGGACCCCACGGTGGGGTCGCTTTTCTTCCGGCTGAAGTTTCTACTGGAGGCGGGAAGTCGGGTGCTTATGGGCCCGAGGGAGTGTGGGTGGGGCAGGGGTAGGGAGCAGGGGGTTTTCTTGGTTGGGGGCAGGTTTTTAGCAGGCATCAATGAAACAGTTGGACAGGGGAAAGGGAAAGAAGTGGGAAATAGAAGATGGACAGAGGGCAGCCCCTGGTCGGGGGAGGTGGGTCCTGAGGAGATAGCCTGTCTACTGGGCAGAAGTGTCTTGGGTGGCCCCAGAGAGTGGGCTGAGCTGCGTGTCCAGGTGGGGCCCCCCTTTCAGATCCGAGTGTAGGGAAGAGCAGCCTGGGGGCACTGGCGAGTGCGGGGTGGGGTGGTGAGATGGCTTTGGCATGTGAGCGTGACTGGTCGCTGCACAGTTTGGGGGGGGCAGTTCCACTGAGGTGCCCCCTTTGGTAGCAGCATGGGTTGCTCTCTGATCCCTTGTGGGGTGCCTGTATATCATGGGGTGTCGACCTGTGGGACTCCTTACAGGATCTGGGGACTGAGTCAGACCCTGAGGGGTTCTTGTGGGTTTGAGTAAGGGTGGGGCTGTTTTCAAAGCTCCCTTTAGTTCTGGGGGTTCTGAAGCCCACAAGTGGGAGACGGTGCCCATTCTCTGTCAGTTTGGAACTCTCAGGAAAGCCAGAGCACTCCTGCAGATTTTGGGGTGCCATGTGTTGGGGTGTCACCTACATTTCCAGGCTCAGATGAGGTTGTCAGGAACGTGAACTTCACTCTGGAGGGTTTTGATCTGAAGTGGAACATGGGCGGATGCTAGGAGCACAGGTGGAAGGGTTTTTGTGATTGGGGTACAGGAAGTGGGGGCACTAAGTTCTATATTTGAGTCTCCTGGAAACATCCTTTTCAGGGGGGTCGCTACACTTGTGTATGCATGGTCAACCCTGTAGTTTTTCTTGGGCAGAAACAAGGTGAGGGCCCCGAGAGGGGGACAGTGTTTTTGGGGTGCACTCGTTGGGTACATTTGGTGAAGGTGAGGGAAGGATAAGGTGAGATTGGTTTGGAGATTCACTTAATTCAGAGTTGACTCTGACTTGGGATCTTTTGCTTATAGCTTTCTGCAGATTCTAGAAATGTCTTATGTTAGTGAACCCCCAAATAAGCCCAGGACTTGAAGGCAGACATTTGAGAAGGGCACAGTGTCTCCCCCTGATTGCTACGTGCCCTGGATTGATATGAGGCAGAAGAGATGGAATCAGAGTGTGAACCCAAATTTATTACAGACACGCGCTTACTTTGGCTTGGGGGAAGGTGGAGGAAAAAGGGGGTGTCTTTTGGTACAGTGGACACCTCTAGCCAGGGCAATGACGTTGGAACTGTGGCAAGGAGTGGCAGGGCGGGGTGCTCAGGAGGTGATTCTTGGCCCCGATTTTCTAGGATCACAGTCCCAAACAGAAAGCAGACAGAAGTCTGAAGAGTATGGGGAGATGGGGGTGGGGGAGGGGTTCCCAGCGGCAGCAGGGGCTCGAGGGTGAGGCAGGCCAGCTCTTCCCGTCTGGGTCCCTGCTCTCCTCTGCTCTCCTCCCCTCTCTCCCTCCCACCGCCCACCCCCCCAACCCAAGGAAAAAAAAAAAAAAACCTGCCTGTGCAACAGCAATGGCAGATTCCAATCCTCCAGGCTTTGCTAAACCACCGAGACCAGCCAGGGGGGAGGGGAGGGAGGAGCGGGCTCTCCTGCTTCCTCAAGACAGGGCAAACAGCCTGACCTCCTGGCCCCCAGCCCTCTGAAGAGTGCCCCCCGGTCTGGAAGCCAGGTGTCCTGGACCCCAGCCCCCGGGCGGGGGGGCCTGGGGAGACGGGGAGGAGGAAGGAGGGAGTGACTTCCAAAATTGGCATCGGGACAGAGCAGGGCTGGCGGGAGGCAGGCAAAAGACGGAATTTTCCTGAGAAAACGGGGGTATCTAAGGACCCCAAATTTGGGGAGCTAGTCCAGGACTGTCCTCCCAACATCCTAGATTTTTTTGGGATTTTTTGGGGGCCCCGGGACCCCTCTAGATAGGGTGAGGAATGTAGTGTTGGGGGAATCTGACTGGGGCATTGCAGCTGCCTCTCCCGCCGAGTTGGAGACGGATGGGCTGGGACGGGTTTTGGGGGGGTGTCCCCAATTCTGACTGGGAGTGGAGGAACCCCCCCAGAGCTCTCTTGTGGGGATCCCCCCTCCCCAAGGCACTCCCCAGTCCCCGAGCCAACCGAGAGGAAGGAGGCCAGCGATGCGACTGGGGCGGCTCCTTTCTCCTGCACCCCAAATGTGAGGGATGCACCCCAATTTTTGCTCCTTTCAAAATAGGGAACCAGGATCTCAGGGGAGAGTAGCAGAGGTAAGTGGGGGAGGAAAGTGTCCCCTGTTTTCAGGCGAGACGTGGCGGTTGGGGGGGAGGTTTGGAGGTGCGTGTTGGGGTGGGGTTGGCTTTGTCCGTTTGTGTATTGGGGGGAATGACCAAAGAGGGTTTCTCTTGTACCCCTAAACAAAGCCCCCAAAATGGGAACTTAAGGCGGAGACCACAGAGCCCCCCAGGATCCCCCAGCTATTCTGATAGTGTCTGATTTCTTCTTTGCCCCCCCGAGGCTCTGCTGGGGGGTGGGAGCTGGGGGCAACTGTGTGATTTAGGGGTTCTGGAGGGTGAAGTGAAGTATAAGAAACTTTGGCAGGGCTTGATGGCAGTCAGATAGGGGTCTTCGGGGAGGGGTCTGGCATCTTTGGGGGCCTTAAAAAAAGATATCTTAGCTACACCATCTTAGATCTTTTTGATTGCTAAGAGTTTTGGGGGGTGTGTCAGACAGGGGGACAGTAAAAGGTGGCATGGGATGTAGGATGGTAACTTTTGTGTTCTACAGGGGGGTAATTTATTTTGCAGAAGGGATTTGAATCCTTGGAGTTTGCTTTTGGGGGGTGGGGGGGAGGTGCTTTTACAAAATCGAGTCATGGACAGGACAAAAAGGCTGAGTGTAGGCCTGGGCGGGGGGTGGGGAGAGGCATGTTTGTCTGAGCTAGAACGTGGCTCTCTGGGGTGGGCCCGCCTGCCTGGGCCTGGTGCATGGGCTCATGGGTGGTGGTGTGAGGCTGGGCTTGGGTGCTGGGGGGCCATGGGCAGTTGCAACAGCCCCAGGGGCTGAGTACCTGGCTCCCTCTGCCCTCTCCCTGGGCCTTGCTGCTCCCCCTCGCCCCCTGGCCTCCATTTCCTGCTTCTGGCCTCCATCTTGTGGCAGGCCCAGGGCCCAGGGCAACTTCCGGCCCCCCTCTCCCCACCGTGTTCCGGCCCCACCACCTCTGGCCTGCCAGCTCCCAAGCCTGGCTGTCCTGGACCTCTGGCTCTCTCTTGCTTTCTTTTTGGGTTCTGACCCAGGGAGGGACGCAGCAAGCCCAGGGTCCCTGCCCAGCCTGAGTCCAGAGGCAGTGAGGTTGGCCGCCCCTTCCTCTAGTCAGCCCCATTTCCTCCGCCCTTGACCCCGCCCGAGGGATCCCCTGAGTTCCCACCATGGGAAGATGGTTCCAGTCCTACTTCACTGTGAGCCGGGCTGCCAGCTCCCTCTCCTCTACAACCTTCCCACCCTGTCCTTGTCCTTGGCTTTTCCCACCATTTCTGGGGGCCCTGTCTGTCTTTTAAGCCTTCGCTCTCTCCCTGCTTGTGGTGGTGGTGGCAGTGGGAGGGCGGCAGGGTGGCAGGGCGGCTGGGTGTAGGGGGGTCTTCCTAGCACTGCCTTGAGCCCTCGTCCTCTCAGCGCACCCCAGTCCTGCTCACGCCCCAGCAGCACACTGTGGTTTGTACGGCACTGTGGCCACGTCCAAACCACAGTGTGGTGTTCGAGCGAGGGTGGGGGAGGCACCGCCGAGGCCAGGCCCGGGAGGCCACCGTGGAAAAGTGACCCGAGGAACATCTGGGACCTGTGACCGGTTTCTGAGGGCCTGGTGTTGGTGGCGGTGGTGGGTGTTGGGAGCAGGGGAGTGGGTAGGGATGAAAGGACTTGGAGCAGGCCCAGGAAATTTCAGGAACTGCCTGCCAGAGGCCCCTGGAGGGAGCAAGAGCGCAACAAAGTGGAGTCTTTGTTGCCCACACCCAGCTCCCCTGGCTCTAGCAGCACAGAAATATTGGCACCAGGAGGCGAGTCTGCCAATATTGGCTGTGCTGCTGCAGGTGGGGTGGCAGGAGCGACCTGGAGTGGCTGAGGACAAGGGAGGGAACGAAATGCGAGGCTGACAGCAGTCAAGCCAAGGGGCACATCTTTATTGTGTTCTGTATATATATATATATATATATAAACTGTCCATCAGATGGAGGGCGAGGGGGCTAGAGGCTGGGTGGGCGGACAGCTCCCGGCAGCCTCTGCCTCCCGCCCGGGCAGGCTTTGCCCCAAGTCCCCGGCCGGCAGTCCACAGGTGCAGGTGAATGGTGAGGGGGTGAAGAGGTGGAAGGTCAGCAGGAGAGTAAGGGAGCTTCAGCATAAGTCTGTGCACGGCCAGAGCCCAGGGTCAGGCTGTCTGGAACAGGAAGACAAATGCACCCAAGATGGAGCGGGCCGCCGACTGCTGCTGAGGCAATGCCAGTCCCCTCACCCCTGCCGCCTGAGCCCAGGGAGGGGCTCCTGCACAGACCAGCAGCCTCCCTCCCCATCCCCCATTGCTGCCCGAGCCGGGGAGGAGCTCCTGCACAGGCCAGCACTCCCTCACCCCCCACTGCCACCTGAGCTGGGGAGGGGTTCCTGCTCAGGCCGGAACCATCCTCCCCACCCCTCCTCTCATCTAGTGTGGGAGAACCGACACACCTACCCTGGTGGAAGTTGAGTTTCTTGGCTGGAGGTGTTTCTCCCGGCCCTTCAATGTCCACCAGGTCACTGTTGGCGTCCGAGTCGTTCAGGGTACTGAGGGGCACATCTGGGGGGCAGGCGGCACATGCTCAGTTCTAGGTTCCCCTAACTGCTCCAGTTTCTGTGCTCACCTCCTTGGGCCCCACCCCCACCCCAGCCCACCCATCCCCAGGCCCACAGCTCTTATAGAATTTTATAGGGGTCCTTACACCCTGCCCCCTCCCCGGGTGGATGATGTGTGTATGTCGGGAGACAGCAAATTCACAGCCCTCACCAGCCTTCTGTTTCTTTACGGGGGGAGCACTGGTCTCAGAGACATTGCCACTGCTGGGTGGAGGGGCAGTCGGAGGAGGCGACAGCATGCCACAGGCCACTTTCTTGGGCCCTTTCTTGGGGGATTCTACTGGGAGGGCAATGCCAGAGTCTTCGTAGACCTTGCGTTTCACCGTGGCCTTGATCTGAGCCCTGGAGAGCAGACAGGCAGGGTGGGAAAGGAGTGAGTGGCACAGGGGCTGAAGGACCAGGGCTGGGGAGCAGGAAGTTGGGGTCCACACCATGGCCACTAGGTAAGGCCGGTGACACACAGGTACACTGCAGTGTGTAATGGACTTTCTATCCCACACAATAGTTGAGTCTCCCAGGTATCCTAAAATCAAATTTGTGGGAGGTCCCTTGGAACCACAGGGCTTTAGGAACTGCTGACCAACCTAGCCATTCTAATAGGGCAGGAAGGGGCTTCGGAGGAGGGTGGGAGAAGGGGTGAGGAGAAGACTGCCCACCCCCCTTCTCTGCCGCCTCCCTCCCTCACACTGTCCGTTCCTTGATGACACAGCTGATGTGATTAAGGTCATCCCCAAATCGTTTGACAGCTGCCCTCAGCATCTCTATCTCGGTCTCCGTCCACTTGGCTCTGTCAGAAGGGGAGAAAGGAGGGGACAGCAGGATGGGGGAGAAGTGCGAGTCAGCACGCTGCTGGTGTGTCCCATCTCCCAGCCTGCGGGGGGTGGGGGAGCGGGCCGGTCCTCTTCTGCCGACCCAGAGAGGGGTTCACTGGCAGAAAAAGCAAAGCTCACAGGACCCCCCTCCTGCCAACTGCAGGGGACTGGATCACCTCGGAACACCCCCACAGACAGCCCTGTAAGGGAACACCCCACCCGCACCCTAAAACAGCCTGGGGAGGGGGCGGAAGGTCGGGGTTAGGGGTCCCTGCCCGTTCTGTCCTTCCCTCACTGGTCACGGATGAACACGGAGAAGCTAACGTGCGTCCCTTGTCCACGTCCCAGCCCGCGCTCACGTACCCCGCGGGCGAGGAGTCGGCCACGGGATGCAGCTGCATCGTCAGCTCCCCGAGCTTCGTGAAGGCGGCGCCCGCCGCCGAGAAGATCTCCCCGACCTGGGGGCGGGCGGGACGGCATGACGGGGGGCCCCGGCGCCCACGCCCCCCGGCGCCCACGCCCCCCGGCCCGCCAGCCCCGCGCGCGCCCCGCGGCCCCAGCCCCACCCCAGCGCGGCGGAAGCGCCGGCCCCGCGGCCGCCAGGGAGCGCTGTCCGCCACGGAGCTCGAACCTTGGTGGACGCTGACGTCATGGCCGCGCGCAGCTCCGCGGGGAGAGGCCGCCGCCGCCACGCGAGCCGGGACCACGGAGCGCCAGGCCGCCGCGCCGGCCGGGTCCCCCACGCAGGAAGTCCCGCCCTCCGCGCCGCGGATTGGCTCCCACGCGGCCGCGCCCGCCTCGCCCGGCGCGGTCACGAAGGCGAGCAGCGGGACGCCGCCTCACTTCCGGTGGGGCCCCATTCCACGCCGGGGCGGACTCGGGGCGCCCCGCACCCCCTGCGCGCGAACACCAGACGCGAGGCTGCAGGGGGGGCCAGCTGTGTTTATTGGGGTACCGGACACCAGACGCGAGGCTGCAGGGGGGGCCAGCTGTGTTTATTGGGGTACTGGCCACCAGGCGCGAGGCTGCAGGGGGGAGAGGCCAGCTGTGTTTATTGGGGTACTGAACACCAGAGGTTGCAGGGGGAGGCCAGCTGTGTTTATCGGGGTACTGGACACCAGACACGAGGCTGCAGGGGGGAGAGGCCAGCTGTGTTTATTGGGGTACCGGACACCAGACGCGAGGCTGCAGGGGGGTCAGCTGTGTTTATTGGGGTACTGGACACCAGACGCGAGGCTGCAGGGGGAGGCCAGCTGTGTTTATCGGGGTACTGGACACCAGACGCGAGGCTGCAGGGGGGGCAGGCCAGCTGTTTATCGGGGTACCGGACACCAGATGCGAAGCTGCAGGGGCCCCAGCTGTGTTTATTGGGGTACTGGACACCAGAGGTTGCAGGGGGAGGCCAGCTGTGTTTATTGGGGTACCGGACACCAGACACGAGGCTGCAGGGGGGAGAGGCCAGCTGTGTTTATTGGGGTACCGGACACCAGACGCGAGGCTGCAGGGGGGAGAGGCCAGCTGTGTTTATTGGGGTACTGGACACCAGATGCGAGGCTGCAGGGGGAGAGGCCAGCTGTGTTTATTGGGGTACTGGACACCAGAGGCTGCAGGGGGAGGCCAGCTGTGTTTATTGGGGTAGTGGACAACGCTGGAGGAAGCCAGGGAGGGCTTTATAAATACAGGGCCGGGGGTGGTGGGGAGGGTGCATGGCGCCCGCGCTCTTAGCGCACCATGTACTCCTTGCGCTTGTTGAGCCGGACTTGGCAGAAGGAGAACCCGCCGAGCAGCAGGTAGAGGCCGGCGGCGATGAAGCAGTTGTAGCTGACTTGCTCGTACAGGTTGTATATGTTCTGGGGGCCGTTCCTGCGAGTGGACATGGAACTCAGGCTTGCAGCCCGCGCCCTTGCGGCAGTGCCCAGTTTGCAGAGTTGGAGATTGGGGCACCCCACAAGTGCATGGCCTGAGCCTCCAGCTCCTCCCCCAGGCACCTGCCCCACCTGACCACTTACTCAAAATCTTTCTCTGTGAAGGGAACGTCCTCAATCAACACGGCGGAATGGACATTGAAAAATATCCCCAGCATTATCTTAAAAAAATGAACGGATGAATAAATAAATAAGGGGGGAAGGGGTCGAGTGTTAAACTAGGCACCTGCAACTCAGGTCCTAAACTCCTCCCTCGGTCGCTATTGCCACAACACCTGGGCCCTCGGGATCAACCAGAAGGAACTGGGCTGAACAGAGCAGGGGCGGCTGCTGCTGGATTCGGACTCACCCGACTGGAACCCCGATGGTTCCCCCTCCGCCCCCCCCCGGGGGTGTCATTGTCATGGGGCAAGGAGGAAGATGTGAGGGAGAACCGACACTTCTTCAAATGGGGAGGCCTGAGGATGGAGGGACCCCACCTCCCCCATGTCCCCCACTCCTGCCTCTCAGGACCCCCAATCCCAGCTCCTCCATGTCTCCCACTCCTGCCTCCTTCAGGACCCCCATCCCAGCTCCCCCATGTCCCCCACTCCTGCCTCTCTCGGGACCCCCAATCCCAGCTCCTCCATGTCTCCCACTCCTGCCTCCCTCAGGACCCCCATCCCAGCTCCCCCATGTCCCCCACTCCTGCCTCAGGACCCCCAATCCCAGCTCCCCCATGTCCCCCACTCCTGCCTCTCGGGACCCCCAATCCCAGTTCCTCCCATGTCCCCCACTCCTGCCTCCTTCAGGACCCCCACCCCAGGCTCCAGCCACCCCCTCCCGTCACCCCGTTTGCCCCAGTTCCCCATTCCTCGCAGCTCCGTTCTCAGCCATCCCCTGCAGCCTGCCTGCCGCTCGTCCAGGGCCCGGAGTTTGCCAGCCTGCAGTCCTCCCCCCCTCGGTTGCCCCTCGGGTTCTCTCGGCTCGTCCTCTCACCAACATGATCACTCCCCAGGCGCTGAGGACGATACCGCAGGCGGCCAGCTTCGGCCCACAGCACAGGAGCGACGCCATGGAGGAGGGAGCAGGCTCACTCCCGGGAGCGCGCCGAGCCGGGGAAGCGGGAAGGAGAAGTCCTGGACGAGCCGGGGAAGCGGGGAGGAGAAGCCCTGGACGAGCCGGGGAAGCGGGGAGGAGAAGCCCTGGACGAGCCGGGGAAGCGGGGAGGAGAAGCCCTGGACGAGCCGGGGAAGCGGGGAGGAGAAGCCCTGGACGCGCCGGGCGGACCAGCTGAGCTCCGGGGCGGCCGGGGGCGTGGCCTGCGGCCTCTACCATCGCCTTGTGTGGAGGACGGTCGGCGGCGGCCGCTGGGCCCTTGGGGGTTCTCGTGGCCTTGGGCCCCAAAAGGCTGTGTCTGGAACGCGGGCATCCCTTTTAGAAGCTCCTCTTGACCTACTAACGCCGGCATGTCGCCAGAGTGAGAGGCTCGTGTCTTGGTGCTTCCCCCACGCCCTTGTCTGAAATGGAAGGCGCCGCCGCGCCGCGTGACCAGCTGGGGCAGTCAGGTGACGAGGGAGCCGCGGGAAGCAGGCCTCGGGAACGACTGATTCTGCCCCAGCTCCTGGTCCCGTGGGCGCTGAGCTCTTAGGGTTAGAGGCTCGGAATCGTCTGGTTTTCCCCTCAGGTGCTTTAACGTCATATCCAGTGTAAGCGAAGTGGTGAGACAAGATTACTTCCGAGAGATGGTCCCCATGCCTGCTCACCTCTTTCTGTAAAAACACACCTTAACGGTGTGTGTGTGTGTGTGCGTGTGTGTGTGTGTGTGTGTGTGTGTGTTATATACATACACAGGGAAAAGGTTAAGGTGGCTGAGCATGCTGTCCTGGCTGGCATGCTTTGGTAGTCTGTCAGCACTGGTTATGCTCCTGAGTAGCTTCGTTTAGAATACTGTGTTTTTTTTTTTTTTTTTTTTTAATGTATTGTTATTGGAAAGTCAGATATACAGAGGAGGAGAGACAGAGAGGAAGATCTCCTCTCTGCTGATTCACTCCCCAAGTGGCCGCAGTGCCAGGGCTGAGCCGGACTGAAGCCAGAAGCCAGGAGCTTCCTCTTGGGTCTCCCACGCGAGCGGCAGAGGCCCAAGCATTTGTGCCGTCCTTCACTGCTCTTTCCAGGCCGCTATCAGGGAGCTGGGTGGGAAGTGGAGCAGCTGAAACACGAATTGGCACCCATATGGGATGCTGGCTCTTGCAGGCGGAGGATTAGCATATGACACCGCTGCATCAACGCTGGAGTCAGGTGTTTGTTTTGTCCTAGGAGCAGCATGCTTAACCAGGGCATTTGTGCGGTACATGTGTGAGTAGGAGGAATTTGTTAAGTTGGTCACCAGGTGACAGTCTGGTTCCTGGAAAGGGTGATAGCAGAGGGGGCTGTTATCCTCAAGTGCCCTCCCTAGCTCTCCCCTGCCCCCAGTCACACTCTTAGGCACCTTGGATGTGCTGTAGGCACCAGGTTAGTGCAGGTACAAGGGCAAATCCAGCTGCAGTTTATACATGGCTCTCCGGCAAAGCACATTTTACATTTTTCTGCATTTTATTATTATTTTAAAAAATTATTTATTTGAAAAGCAGAGTTACAGTGATAGAGTTAGAAAGAGATTGATTGATTGATCTTCCATCAGCTAATTCACTCCCCCGGGTGTCCACAACAGCCTGGCCAGGAACCAGGAACTCAGTTTGGATCTTTCATGTGGCCTACAGTGGCCCAAGGTATTTGGGTAATCTTTTTTTTTAATTGTTTATTTTTTAATTGGAAAGTCAGATATACAGAGAAGAGCCAGAAAGGAAGATCTTCTGTTCATTGATTCACTCCCCAAGTGGCCATAGCAGCTGGAGCCCTGTGCCAATCCAAAGCTAGGAGCCAGGAGCCTCTTCACTGTCGCCCACGTGGGTGCAGGGTCCCAAGGCTTTGGGCCGTCCTCTGTTGCTTTCCCAGACCACAAACAGGGAGCTAGATGGGAAGCGGGGCTGCTGGGATTAGAACTGATGCCCATATGGGATCTCGGCGTGTTCAAGGTGAGGACCCTAGCTGCTATGCTATTGTGCTGGGTGCTCTTTTTCTTTTTTAAAAATGGTTGAATAAACAAATGTAAAGTTGTGATCTGTGAAGTCCAGTATATTCCATAGATGGAGTTTTAGTGGGACCGAGTTATGCTCACTGGTTTATATAGTGTCTGATTGTCTTCGTACTGCAACAGGAGAGCTTAGGAGTTGGTACAGACTGTGTGGTCTTGCAAAGCCCCAAATCTTATTTCATTTTTCAACAGAATGAGTCAAGTGTCCCCCCTTCCCCAGGAATGGGGAGGTGCTGATGCAGCAGCTTGCTTTGGGGAGAGAATGGCATCTTAGCAGCTAAGAGTTAGCAAAGCACAGAATTCAAGATGAAAGTTGTTTCATTGGGCACTCTTTGGGCCTCAGATGGCCACACTGTTCTCTATGCGGCTGGGCTTGAGGTATTCATAGGGCAGGTCCAGGGGCTCATTCCGGGCTATAATCTCTTTTTCAAAGTTTTCCAGATCTTTCTGGAATTGGCTTAGCACTGCTTTGGCCTTGGGTTCCGAGAAATACTCTTCTTTGTGATGCCCCAGAGGCACCTGAGACAGAAGCAAGAGTCAGTCAGCATCTAGTCTGAAAACAGAAGCCCCAGTGTCCAGCCTCTCACCCTGGGGTTTCTTTTTTCCAGCTGTCCGAATCCCCTCACCATATCTGGCTGCTGGCGCCCTAGGTGCCACGTGATGGCCATCTGAAGAGTGGACTGCCTGACGTCAGGTAGTGACCCCATCACCATAGCCATTGTCACGTCTTCCTTGGTGGCAGGTGGGGGCATCCGCATGGTGCATGGGGCGTTGGGGACCCAGCCAAACCAGTCCAGCTGCAGGAAGGAAAGGAAAGTAGGGCCCTGGTCACTTCGGGTAGGACCTTCTATCCCACCCTCGGACCACCCAGGGGAAGGTGCTCACCCATACCTGGCCCTGGTTGATGGCCGCATGCTGGGCAGTGCTTGTGAAGATACACATGGTCAGGAAGTGGCAGAGTTGAGCCTGGGACTGGAAGGAGATGGGGAAACCTGGGGCACGGGGGAAGAGAAACACAAGCGGAGGCATCAGGGGAGAGACGCATGATGTCTCCAGCAGGATGGCTGTGTGTGGGACTCGGTTAGTACTCAATACTGCGCTCATTTATTTCATCAGATGTGGGTTTTCGATCCTGGTTCAGTCCTCTCTAGTTTGGTTAACGTTGGTCTCTCTGAACCTCAGTGCGTTCGCCTGGGAAATGCAACTGATGCATACCTGATACAGAAAATGGACCACAATCCCTTGTGCAGTAACCAACGCTCAGTCAGTTACTGTGATAGAAGGGCCAGGTGGAGTTTAGGGGTGCCTCCTCCTGCCCCCAGTCAGGCGTTCGCAGTCTCTGAGTTATAAGTTTGGGACCAAGAGAAGCCATGGGTTTACAGCATCCCAGTGAAGAGGAGGCTTCCCACAAGGTTTTCCGCAGACCATCTGTTTGTCAGCGGCCTCCCTAGAGACCCTAGTGAAGTGCAACAAGGATAACTGGGTAGGATAAATACTAGAGAAATTAAACTCCTATCAGGTTTGCCTTGGTCCTGACTTTTGATGAATTTAATGTCATTCTTAAGATTTATTATCTTATAAACATTTTTATTGGAAAGATAGAGTTACAGAGAGAAGGAGAGAGGGAGAGAGAGAGAGTACGTGCGCGAGAGATCTTCCATCTGCTGATTCATTTCCCAAATGGCTACAACTGCCAGAGCTGACCTGATCTGAAGCCAGGAGCTTCTTCTGTGTCTCTCACATGAGTGCAGGGGCCCAAGGACTTGGGCCATCCTCTGCTGCTTTTCTAGTAGGGAGCTGGATCAGAAATGGGGCAGCTGGGACATGAATCGACACCTATATGGGAACCTGGTGCTGCAGGCAGAGTCTTAACCTACTATGCTACAGCACTAGCCCCAATCCAATATAGCTTTTAATTTTAGCAAACTTTATAAAGTCTTGAGAAAATTAGAGGTGCACTGTGAGAACTGAGAAAGAATAAAGGGAAGAAAGAGAGGCAGTCAGTGATTGCAGGTAACACATACTATGTTCAGGATCTTATGTGGGTCCCTGCCAGACTCACATGGTGAAATCTAATGTGCCGAGTGAAGGTGTTTGGGAGTGGAGGCCCCGGGAGGTGATGGGAACGAGAGGGTGAGGCCTTCAGAAATAGCATTCTGAGAGGAGGTCAGAGAGCACGGCTTACTATTTTTGTGCCACATGATGATTTCAGAGGCCAGCCAGAACTTGAACATGCTGGTACCCTGATCATGAACCCTGATCCAGCCTCTAGAACAGGAAGATCTTTCTGTGTGTTGTTTATGAGCTAACCAGGCTACCTTGTAACATTTGTTACAGCAATCCTAACTGACACAATGTACTGTGTCAACTTTAGCCAGAGGGAGGAAAAAGGGGCTTTGGGGACATGGGGCATCTAGGGGACAGGACTTGGCATGTACGAGAGAAAGCACTGGAAGGGTGGAGGGGATGGTGCCCTCATAGACCCTTCCAGAGCACAGGTGCTGGCTGCACCCCCCAGGGCCCTGCCACAGTGGCTCCCTGCGGAGGGAGTGGGGTTGCAGTTGTCCTGCAGAGGAGAGACTGGGAGTCAAGAGAGGTTGGTCCAGCGTTTGAGGCACAGATGCTGAGGCAGGCCAGGTTGGCCGTTGCGTGTTGGAAAGGAGAATGTGAAGCTTGGAAGAGCTCAGGAAAAGCTTCTCCAACTCCCAGATGACAGGGTGGCACCTGGAGTGGGGTGCTCAAGTTCCTGCTCAGATCCTGAGATCAGGGCCCTGAGCGTTTGTTGTACTCAGAAATGACCTTGTCCTGAGGCAGGTGTGTGCCAGGCCTCAACCCTCTGTGTGTGCTAGACAGCAGCAGGCAGGGGGAAGGCGGGGAAAGGTGGGGATGTGAGTGTGGGGGAATCTCCTCATTTTTACCTTCATGTAGGGAAGTCGAGAACCACAAGAGAGAATAGGAGCTCATGCAGGGCCCAGGCAGAAACTCTGACCGCCTGGGGTTCTGGCCTGGCCAAACCTCCCACTGTGGGAACAGGGTTTGCTGACCAGGGCCTCCCAGGAGCATGGGCAGATATGTGCACATATGTGTGGCATGTGGATGCTCTCATGTGAGTAGCAAGGTGTGGTGACAGGGTGGGGTCCCTGCCATCAAGGGGCAGGGCAGGGCCCTGGTGAAGTTCTTCCCCGCCCTCATACCTCCATCCCCCCCGCTAGAGTGCCCATCTCCAGTTTGGCACCTACCCCGGTCCTGGGCTTGGCACAGCCCCACGTCTGTGATCTCCCGGCACCAGGCCTGCAGCTCAGGGTCCCTCCTCACGACCTCATCACTTTGGTAGAAGAGACCCATGATCCCCTGAACATACCTGGCCAGAGAAGAGGGGAGCCGAGCCCTGAGCATTGAAGGTCACAGCTGTTGGCCTCTGTCCAGCTGCCTCTCCAGACGTGCCCATCGGGGTCACTGGCTGCCCTTAAAGCCCGCCAGCGTCCAGGGATAATCAGAGGAAAGGTGGGTCATCAAATCTTGGAATTCCCTGGCACTTCCAGACCCCTCGCTCTTCCACCCACAGGCCCCACATCCTTGCTCTCTGACACATCGCAGTCACTGCTTCTCTTTGTCCCCTGGGCTAGACCCCTTCTTTTCTCTTTGCCTCACGCTGACTGGAAGTATAGCCCCCACCCACCGATCCTCCACCCCTTCTCACCCACCGGGCAATGATCTCCCAGAGCTGGGAAGCATCGTGGGCATAGAGGGCATTTGGGAGTCCCAGCAGGCCCCGCTCAGCCAGGTCGTGAGGAGGGCAGAGGGAACAGTAGGTCAGCTGAGTCACCGCCCGCCGCAGCAGCTCGATGTGACCCCCTCCACCTGTGCTCACTGCCTGGGACAAGAGAGATGACAGAACTTGAAAGACAGAAGCAGGACATCCAGGAGAGGACCTCGAGGCTGTAAAAGGGACAGGGCTCATGAGCATGAGGGCCGGGACATCGGCACAGGCCACTTTGGGGCCCCGCAGGTGGCGGAAGATCGCAGCAAGCAGGAGACCAGGGTGGCTCCGCCCACACCTTCCTCCTCACCTGATCAAATATTCCTGCATCGGAGATGAGCTGGTCCCGGGCCCGGGTGTTGATCTCCATGGTGTAGCGGATGTGGGGCATCAGGAGCTGGGGACAAGAGGACGGAGGTGCTTGGATACTTCCTCATAGGGCAGGGCACCCAGCTTCTCTCAGCACTCAGTCAAATGTACCCCAACTTCCTGTGAGTGGCCAGGATTTTGGTCTATCCTGCGCAACTCAATCTGATTGATACCCGACCAGCTTAACTACCCTCTGAGCAGCAGTCTCCTTCTTCAGGAAGTGGCTGGTGTCAGCCATTGGTCCTTGAATAGCAACCATTAACTGTGAACGTGGGTGTGTTGGGAATCAGAATTCATCTGATTCTCTTTGAAATGTCCCTCCTCTATCATTCACCTCTGTACGGATTAAATTAGCCTTTCTGGGCCCGGCACATGGGTCAGCAGCTAAATCATCCCCTTGCAAGCACCGGGATCCCATATGGGTGCCACATCATACCCCAGCTGTCCCACTTCCTTTCCAGCTCCCTGCTTATGGCCTGGGAAAACAGTAGAGGATTGGCCAAAGCCTTGGAACCCTGCACCTATGTGGGAGACCTGGAGGAGGCTGCTGGCTTTGGTTCAGATCAGCTCTGGCCATTGTAGCCATTTGGGGAGTGGACCAGAGGTTGGAATATCTTTCTGTTTCTCCTTCTCTCTGTAAATCTGATCTGCTTTTCCAATAATAAACAAAACAACAACAACAACAAAAATGAATCTTAAAAGAAAAACAAAAACAAAAACCTAATCTTTCATTCATTATCCAAACTGTGTCTCCTGAGGTTGTTACGGTGCAGTGGGTTAGTCTGTGGCTGGGACACCTGCATCCCATATTGGAATGTCAGCTCAAGTCCAAGTTTCTCCACTTCTGATCCACCTTCCTGCTGGTAGCAGAAAATAGCTGGCCCAAGTGGTTGAGCCCCTGGGTGGAGTTCCAGGCTTTTGGCTTTAGCCTGGCTCAGCCCTGCCTGGCTGCTGTAACCTTTTGGGGAGCAAACCAACAACAGATGGAAAATGTTTCTGTTTCCCTCTTTCTGTGTCACTCTGCTTTCAAATTAATCAACTATTTTTTTTTAAAAAGTTTATTTCTTTTTATTGGAAAGGCAGATTTATAGGAAGGAGAGACAAAGATCTTCCATCTGTCAGCCTACTCTCCAGGTAGCCTAAATGGCCAGAGCTGAACTGATGCAGAGCCAGGAGCTTCTTTCAGGGTCTCCCACATGGGTGTAAGGGCTTGAGGATTTGGGCCATCCTTTACTGCCTTTCCAGGCCACAAGCAGGGAGCTGGTTGCGATGTGGAGTAGCCAGGACACAAATTGGCACCATTGTGGGATTCTGGCGCATGCAAGGCAAGGATTTAGCCACTGAGCCATTGTGCTGGGTCCCAATCAACCAATCTTAAACAGCAAGAAAGAAACCAAGGTGCCTGGGAAGGCAGCAGAGGATGGCCTGAGAACTTGGAACCCTGGGTGGCTTGGGGGGAATTTCAGCCTCCTGGCTTTAGCCTCACCCAGCCCTGCCCTCACTGCCATTTGGGGAGAGAATCAGCAGATGGATGACCTCTCCATCTCTTTCTGTAGCGCTGCCTTGCAAAATAAATAAAATCTGTATTTTCATCTTCGGGTTGCATAACTGTTGGGTTTCTTTAGGAGGTCGCGTGGGGGGAGATACTTTCTGTCAGGATGAGGAGCACTATACTGAGCTACCTGTGGCAGCAGTGACACGGGGCTGTGTCCCATCTGTCCCCACCCACACTTAGGTTGCCATTCCTGCTTTGCTTTGTTCTAGACCACGGTCTTCCAGGCCCTGTGTGATTCCTCTGATTTATTGAGCCAGATGCAGAAACAGCTCAGGTGACACTGTGATGTTGATGAAGCTGAGATAACACAGTAGCTCACATCAGCCTGACACTTTCCAGAAAGCTCACAAAAGATGCTCCATGTTATAGAAAGCACAACATTCGCACAGAGAGAAGATGCGTGAGGACAAAGAGCCATTCTTAACAGCTGTGGGTATGCATTGTGTCACCCTGGTGCGCTCTGTCACTCAACTGTCCCCCCAAAACCAAGGCTCTCTGAGAGTACTTAGGCCAGGGTCCGGGGCCCAGAGCAGCCTGTACAGGTAGCTGTGAGGGCGCTGTCAGCCTGCCCTCCAAACAACTCTGCTGTTTGCCCTGGGGTTGTGGCAGGTAGAAGCAGGGCAGGGGCCGAGCTGGAAAAGGGGGCTCGTGGGATAGAAGTGTCAACGCACTCAATGTGAGCCATGCTGTACTGCCCTTTGAGTCTGAGAGAAATGGGCTAGAGAGGACAGAGCTTGTACCTTGAAGACAGGGTGCAGTCCTGGGAGGCACCTCATGGTGGCGACAGCGATGACCTCAGCCACCAGGTGAGTGTGTAGCAAGTGGTACTGGAGCTCATGCAGTTGGAAATCGGCACTTCGGACCCAGGACTTGGCTAGAAGCCAGGCTAGTGGAGGATCTGAAGGCAGGAACAGTGTTGGGGTGGGAGAGCTGGCGCTGGGGGGCTGGATCTGGGGGAAAGAGAAGGGAAGTGTATTTGTGAAGCTGGCCACTTGGTGATGACAGGGTCACCACTTGCGGGGCAACAGAGGTGACTGACATGGTCATCTTCCAGGGAATTGTATGCATATAAGTATTTAAAGATTTATTTATTTGAAAGAATTAGAGAGTGAGGTAGAGACAGAGATCTTTGATTTGTTGGTTCACTCCCCAGGTGGCTCTGATGGCCTGGGCAGGGCCAGATGGAAGCCAGAAGCTTCATCAGCGTCTCCCATATGAGTGGCAAGAGCCCCCAAATTTAGGTCATCTTCTGCTGCTTCTCCTAAGTCACTAGCAGGGAGTTGGATTGGAAGTGGAGCACCTGGGATTTGAACTAACATCCGTTTGGGGTGTTGGCATCAGAGGTGGTGGCTTTACCCACAATGCCATGATGCTGGCCTCACCTCATCTTCTGGGACATTATAAAATAGGAGGAGGAACAAGAACCAACACTCTGCCTCTTGCTAGCTGTTCCACTGTGGTCGATGGGGGCAGGAGACTGGAAGCATGGGGACCCGTCGGAGGTCCTGTCAGTGGCTTGGGGGAAACTTGCTGGGGAAGAAGGATTCGGGGTGGGGTAGGAAGCGGACTCTGGCTGCGTAAGGGCATTGCTGGTCCTTGGCAGCTGCCTTCTGGGAGTAGTGAGAAAATATACTCAAGAGATGCCGGGGTGAGAGGCAGGGCGTTCAGGAGGCAGAGGCCACTTGGAGGTTGAGCGGTTGTTCCCAGAGGGAGGGCTGGAACTGCGCTTCCACCTTACTTTGGAACTTGTGAGAAATGCAGCTTCTTCGCTGCCACCCCCAGACAGGCTGACGGGAGGGGCCGGCATTGGGGTACAGCCACATTGTGCTTCATCAAGCCCTTCTGATATTCTGATGGACACGGAAGTCTGACCATGGTGAACTCCAGGAGGACATTTTGGAGTGAGACAAGGGAGACCAGGCAGCCAGCTCAGGACAGGTCTCACCGGGTGAAGGTGGCAGGTGGCAGCTGGGGGCCGAGGTGAACAGAGAGCAGCACTGAGAGAGGGACACCCGGGATGCCTCACCTGGATGACCATGGGGAGCAGCTTCCCATCGGGGTCCATCTTGAGCATGACAAGGGGGGCAGCCACGTACTGCTGTTCTCCTCGGATCACGTTGGCTGGGATTCCATGCAGCAGGATGAAGTCGGCCTCAAACAAGGAACCGTTCTAGGGGAGGGAGGGCTGCGTTAGCTCGCAGAGCACAGATGTTGGAAGACAACAGCCTGGCCTCCAGCCATCACCCTCTATCAGTACCAGAGCCCGGCTGAAAGGATTAGCACACCTGCCCCCGTTTTCCCTCATTTTAAATAGCCCATATGGGGACAGATGCCATGTGCGTGGGTGTGTGCAGGTTAACAGCTGTGTCCAGATCACAGATGTCATCAGTGGGCCCCTTGTCAGGGTTACCAGACTCCTTCCCACTTGGCCCCTTATTGATGAGTTTCCTGCACTTGGTTCCCATCGGCTTAGCAAACCTTCCTTCGCTCCTTGTTCTGACTCATTTCCTCTGCCAAATACCCCACAGAGCTGCCCCTAACTATGCATGCACGTGTACACACACACACACACATACCATCTTAGGCTCATGCTCCTATACACTGTATCTCTTCCAAATCCAGCTTGCTTTTTTTCTCCAGGATCCAGAACACTGACATCAGCCAGGGAATGTTAGGGTCACTGGCCCCCCCATCTGTGTCCTGGCATGCCGGAACCTCCTTGGAGTTACACATACACCCCCACACACTTTTTTCATCATTTGTAGCAATTTCTACCACCAGACTCTGCGTCAAGGGGGCAGCAGATTGCCACCGCCTGCTGTCCTTTCTCTGCTTCCCCAGCCCTTAGCACACTACTAAGGTGAGGACAGTGCAGGGTGGGGGGAGGTACCTGGAGCTCCTTCTCCAGCTGGACTTGGAGCTCCTCCATGCCCGAGGGCAGCACAAGCCTGGAGGGCAGGCAGGTGGAGTGTCGCAGCAGCATGGGGTTGGCGCCATTGAGGAACTGGTAGCCGAAAAGTTCATCGTCCTGCCAGCGCTGGTGAACTTTCTCTGTGGGATAGAGGGAGGTGTCTCCTTGGTTCCGTTCTCCACTCTCCTCCAGGCCCTCCCCGAAGGGAATCGACATTCTGGGAGCCTGTGCCCTGCCCTTTTAAATCTTGAGCTTTCTCAGAGATGACCAGGGCGGAGGAGGCTTTGTCTCTCAAGGAAGTCCAGGGACTGTGGCGTGTGTGTGATGCATTGGTTTTTCGGGAACCTGGGGGAGCCACTGACCAGCCAGGGCACTCTTTTGACCCCAGAAGATCTGATCGAAGACTTCCAGGCGATCCCAGGAGCTCAGAAGGGTGTAGATCCGTTTGAAGATCATCTCCAGTCCCCTAGGAGAGATACCGGGGTGTGGACCCCTAAGCCCACCCCTGAATCCCTACACCCTGACTCTGGGCCACGCCCCCAGCCCCAGCCTTTGTGTCTCACCCTGCCTTTAGCGTCCACTCAAAGTCCAACCTCTTATCCTCGTGGAATCTCATGTTGGGGGGCAGATCCTCCTTTGTGTCGGCAGCTATGGTCAGGAGCAGTCCTTGCCTCCAGGTGGCCCAGCTGGAGATGGAGGACGAAGCAGGGAGGGTGTGGAGGGCAGAAGGGCTCAGGGGAGGGGGAGGGCGGCACGGCTGTAGGGCCTGGAGATAGTTACCGGTATGTCCGCTGTCTCTCCTCTAGTTCCTTCTCTCGATGCTTCTGGAAGACGTCCAAGGCATTGTTTACCGGCAGGCGGGCTGGGGAGGCATGAAGGCCGTTGGCCACCATCTCTGTCTCTCTCTCTTTGTCTCTCTCTCTGTAGTTGTATCCATATTTTCTGCCTTACACTGATACTTGTCTCTGCCTTTGCCCCTCGACTGAAATGCCAGGCGCTTTATCCTGTCTTTGCCAACCTCCTATGTTCATCTCACTGACGCCAGCCCTCAGCCCTGGCCTGCAGACAGAAGTCTCATGCTTGCTCTCCTTTTCTTATACTCTAACTCATCTTCCCTCTTTCTGCCCATTTCACCCATTTCTGAGGTTGGGGGGAAAAAAAAAGTTGCCGTGATTAGGGCCTAATGCAATGGCTCAATGGCTAAATCCTCACCTTGCAAGTGCTGGAATCCCACATAGGCTCTGGTTCATGTCCAGGCTATGCCGCCTCCCATCCAGCCCCCTGCTTGTGGCCTGGGAAAGCAGTCGAGGACGGCCTAAAGCCTTGGGACCCTGCACCTGTGTGGGAGACCCAGAAGTAGCTCTTGGCTCCTGGCTTCAGATTGGCTCAGCTGTGGCTGCAGGAATGAGTTAGCAGACAGAAGATCTTTCTCTCTGTCTCTCCTCTCTGTAAATCTGATCTGACTTTCCAGTAAAAATAAATAAATCTTTTTTCAAGCCACCCTGATTTGCACATCAACTACGTGTGGACACCTCTCTTCTGGATCTTGCTCTGGCTAATTTCAGACATCTTCCTCTGCCCTCCAGAGTGTCTGCATCTCTTCTTCACCTGACTTCACCTTTCTGGAATCACCACCCTCATATGTATTTATTTTTTCTGTCCCCGCCTGTGCTTGAGTCAGTATCATACAGATCCTGTTCCCATCCTTACCAGCCTTGCCCTTCTAGGTCTCTGAATTTATCTTGTTTTTACTGTACAACAAAAGCCTTCAACATGAGCTGCTTTCTCATTACTCTCCTGCCAGCCTGTCCTTGGCCTGCAGGGTTATCCAAGCAAGCCCCTCAATGAAAGAAGCCTCTTTGTCTCCCTCCCCACACCCTTTCTGGGCCCCTGACCGAGTCACGCAGAGACCTCCTTGCTTTTCTGTTTTCCATTCGCAGTTCTACTCCTTTAGCCTAACTAACCCCGTGCAAAACGCGGGCCATTCCTGGCTATTTCCTGCCAGTCCCGTATCCTGGCATTTTGTCCCTTTCTCTGCGTGCCCACCGTTCCTCCGAGGTGGTGCTCAGCCCCAGTGCAACCGCCGCACCCCCCCCCCCGCTCGCTAGGTGGCCCGACGACCCCCCCCCCTTTCCGGCGGCTCACCGCTGCCCTCGGGCAGGCTCAAGACACCGTCGCCAAACACCCAGCGGTAGCAGGGGAAGGCGGCCGTCTTGCAGGCTCCAGGTGCCCGCACCGTGATGCTGTCGCAGAACCACGCGTCGTCCACCAGCGAGTGATGTTTGCGCAACTTCACGAACTGCAGCGGCCCCAGGTCCTCGGGGACGTCGAGCTCGAACTCTTCCACCTGTAGGTCTATTACTCAGGAGACAGGCCCTGGAGGGTGGGCTGGGAGTAGAGGAGATAGGGCCGAGGATCCCGGGATAGGGAATCGTTTGTGCGCCCCGCAGACCCGGGCTGCCGAGACAGCATCCCCAAGCGCTGCGCGCAAGGATTGCCCTGTGAGCGCCAGGCGCGGCGGTTTAGGAGAGGTCAAGGGCTGGCGGGGACTCGTCTGAGCATCGTGGCTCGTGGGTGCGGTTCCCCGAGCGCGCCCCACGCCCCTACTAGTGGGATCCACGGTCGGTGGTTTGTAGGAGGATATATAGGTGTTGCCAGGACCGTGAGTGGAAATGGGGTGCGGTGAGCCTCAGCCTGGGCTCTGAGCTCTCGACCCTTCCCATACCTCCCACTTTCTTCCCGGAGTCACAACGCCCTGGAAATCTCCGCCTGTCTATCCTGCCTCTTGCAGCCGCGGGCCCGCCTCCAGCCCAGCCCAGCCCGGCCCGGGGTCCCCGCGGCAGCCCACTGACCTCGCCCCTCGCCGGCCGCAGCTGCAGCTCCAGCTCCGCCTCCCCGAGAGCCCCGACCAGCCACAGCTGCACGCGGTTGTACGACCCGGAGAAGATCCAGTCCCCGGTGGCCACGCGGATATGGTAGCGGCCCATGGCGACCTCAGCAGCGTAGGGAGAGGGAGCCCCAGCTCAGCGCAATTCCTGGGACCGCCCAGGGTTGCCGGCGCCTCAGGGCCGGTTCCAGGCCTTTAAATAAGATGGGCCTGCGTCCCCGCCCTCATCACAACTTTTAGGCGCTCCCAAGTCCCCGCCCCGGACTAGCCTGAACCTGCGAGCCAGCCTTGAAGCAGGCTGTGGGAAGGGTTGGGCCTCCTAAGTGTGGTTGCGGGTGGTGGAGGGGCCCTGGCCCGGGTGGGGCGTCTCTCGCGCTCCGAGAAACCTGGGGTAGACCTGCTTGTTTGCAGCAAGCACACAAGAGAACACCGCCTCCCATCAAGGTCTCTGTAGGTTTGGTTTGTAGAAGCTGGGACAGTTCCTCTCCCAGAGGGGGGAATTTGGACTCTGAGCTGGAAACTGGGGGAAGGTTTTGTGGCTATGGACTGGACTGGGCTGGTGGTGCAGCAAGTCCTCCTGAAGCTGAACTCTCCAGCTGTGGAGCCCGGTCTGCCCATCAAAGATGGATTCTCCAGGGTGGGATTCCAGGCTCCCAAAGCTTAGGAAAGTGACAACTCAAGGCTGGCTTCCAACCTCTTCTATTTCCAACACCTCATTGTTAGGATCCCAGCAACACTGAAGCCCGTGTCATGACAGGGCACATTTCATTTTGCTTAATCTCCACGATGAATGCAGAGCATGCCAGGGACCCATGAGCATCAGTGTAGCTGGCAGGGTACAATGGGGCATCACTTAGACACCCAGGATCCTTGTCCTCTCCTGGCAAGAGAGCTTGTCCTCCTTCTGTAGGTTCCAGGCTCATTTTGTAACATTTAGTTAGGTGATTCAGGGCTCGGGCTTGGCCACTGGTTCCCGGAAACAGTCAGGTAGAGCCTCCTACTCAGCTGGCTGTCTAAATTCTTGATCTGTGTCACTCTGAGTGTTTGGCTGTCAGTGCCTGGAACCTGGGATAAGGTGGCAGTGCTTTCTCGAGCCAAATGTCAGAGAGGACTCCTTGTGCAAAGTCTGACCTCTTGGCTTCTGGACCCACCGCTGCCTTCATCCTCCGTGTCTGCTCTTGTTGGGTCCTGGTTCTTCCAGCTTTCCCCAGCCACCCTCGTCTGGAGCAGCAAAATAAAATGCACACACCCCCATACTGTGTAACAGCAGCATCTGACCTTTCCCATCATCTCTTTTTGTTTTTCATACTTCTTTCCCAAATCAGTCCTTACTGCAGGCTGCCTGTCTGCCGAGGCTGGTGTTCTGTGAGGTTACACGCCCAGTGTGGGAATGAATGGTTGAGACAGAGTCACCCAAGTTGCTGCCTGTGCTAAATGAGTGAACACAGCTAAGCACTTAGGACAGTGTCTCTAGGCACCAGCTGCTATTCTTTATCATTGATGCTTGAATATCACCAGCTTCTGTTAAATCCTCCTACCATTTCTCATCAGATTACTTTGCATTCTTTGCAAGGGGTGAGGAACACGCAAGTCCACAGCATCGCATGGTCTGGTTTTGCCAAGGCAACTTGCAGGCGGGACTTGAAATCCAGTACATCCATTGCAGGCCCTTTTCTTTCCTTTTAAAAAGATATATTTGTTTTTATTTGACAGGCAGAGTTACAAAGAGAAGAGAGATCTCCCATCCACTGATTCACTCCCCAAATGGCTGCAACAGATAGAGCTAAACAGATCAGAAGCCAGGAGCCAGGAGCTTCTGGTCTCCTATGCGGGTGCAGGGTCCCAAGGTTTTGGGCCATCCTCCACTACTTTCCCAGGCCACAAGCAGGGAGCTGGATGGGAAGTGGAGCAGCCAGGACCTGAATCTGCGCCCATGTGGGGTGCTAATACTGCAGGCAGAGATTTAGCCTGCAGGCCACCAGCAGACACTTTTCTAAGCTGATGATTTTTTATGGCTCACTAATTATATTATAAAAACCCGAATGACCACTGGCAGAAAAAGTCCCTCACCCTGCATATCTCCCATTCGGACTGGCCGACCTGCTCACTTCATGTTTTCTTTTGCCATTTTAAAGCATGTGCACCATTGGGAGAATATAATTTAAAAAATATATTCTCCTAACCCAGAAAACCCCTCCACAAAACTAAAAAAATTATATCATTGAGTAAGCATTTAACCAGGACATGATACATATCCCAGGCAATTGCTAAGACATTGCAAAGGCACGTAACCAACAGATAAAACTGTCATGTTTTCTATATAAAAATGACTAATGTGGGAAGGATTGTAGTATACCCTAAATTGACCAGGTAATGGGGGTGGCCACCTGTGTTAGGAAGTTGTCTTAATCAAAGAGCAGGTCTCCATACGAGGAGATCAGGTTTACAGATGGAACATTTTAAGTACGGGCTCTCATGTCCCTGCGAAAGACATGCTTGGGTGGTAAGGTTGGCAGGACGTGCATGTGTGTGTAGCTTTGAAAAAGATGTGTGCACATCTTAAGGAGATGGCAGGAGCTTCCTTTTTTTTCTAAAGCAAATGCTCTACAGAAAGGCAGGGACAAGTCTTCCCTCGTACATTTCAAGAGAATTAAGACTCTTGGCTTTGAATTTTGATTTGTCCTTACTACCACCATTTTGTTTTTAGCTATGCCAGGCTGATGCTGTCTTGGCCCTTTGCAGTATGGGAGCCCCAGTGAAAACACATGCGCACATCAGAGCTAAGCTCCCTCCTCCCCTTCCCTGCTGTCTGTGCTGGTCGCCAACTCCCACATCCCCATTACCTGTCTTGCAGAACATATAATTTCTGATCAAAGCTTCTCCCAGTGGGTTATGCCCTTGGGCGTGTAGATGAGGAGGGTGGACTTGACATCTCATAGCCAAAGAGCCTTGTTAAAGGGTTTGTCTAGATACAAGAATTTTTTTCCCCGCCATTCTGAAGCACTGTGGCTCAGGCTGCAGCCAATTTTGATGCTGTTGTCTGTTGGACAAGGATACTTCCAAAAGCTTGTGTACAATAGAGTTAAAAGGTAGGCCTATTTTGGTGCAAGATTTAAAAAAATCATTTGTTTAGTCAAAAAGTAGAGCTACAAAGAGAAGAAAAAACAATTGTAGTGATTGGAGTTGGGCTGGTCCAAAATTAGCGACCAACAGCTTCTTCCAGGTCTCCCACATGAGCACAGGGGCCCAAGCACTTTGGGCCATCCTCAGTTGCTTTAACAGGCACATTAGCAGGGAGCTGGATCAGAAGTGGAGCAGCCAGGGCTCAAATTGCCACCCATTTTGGATGCTGGTGTAGCAGGTAGAGGTACCACAACACCACCCTGAATTGTGTTTGGAGCCCATGCTTGGCCCAAGGCTGTGTAAATTTGGTATATGTTCCTTGAAGCACCTACACATTGGACATACAAGCATGGTGTTGTGAACCAAGCACATTTAAACCATATAATCAGAGGATATGAGATGAGGGCAGACATTGTATCATCTATTTTTCCAATTAGTAATTCGGGTACCTACCTGTCTTTATTTATAGGAATCCAGCACTTTCCTTTCTGCATGCTGTCACTTGCTTCTCTCATTGTCTTATGTTGTAACCAGGGAAACCTTGTCCCACACCATCGGAGACATTATTGTACAGATACAAGAATGCCCACAGAAGCCACAACACTGTCAGAGCCGTGGGCCTCTAAACTCTCTGCTAATGGATTTAGCAGGGTTCATAAATGTGCTCGGGGTGCTGGGCACTGAAATGGGGCCATGTCCAGCCTCATGCCTTGGTACTGAGCATGGTCATTAGACCAGACCGCTCTGTTCCCTCAGGGTTCCCTTTTGCAATCCTGGCCAATGCTTCCTGCTCAGGACCTCTGCTGGGACCTTCCTAGGCCATTGAAGATGAGGATTCCATTCATTCTGAGCCATGAAGAAAACAACCAGACCTCAACCTCTTCTTCCACACTAGTAAGAATCTTGGGCCATTTTGCCAGGAACCTCCTGCTCCTGCTGTGCCAACCCTGCATCCCTAGGGAGTGCTAGGGTGGGCTGTGGGAGCTGGGCAGGGTAAAATAGGGCACAGAGGGCCTTTTATTGCCCCCAGAAAGTTACCTGAGAGGGGACACTCCAGCCTCAGGGAAGAGAGACAGAGACGCACAAAGAGAGACAAAATGAGATAGAATGATCTATCTCTGGGATCACTGCCCAGAGACCTGCAACAGACAGAGATGGGCCAGGTCAAGTTTAGAGCCACAAAGTCAGTCCTGATCGTTCTATGTGTGTTAGTGGCCCTGAACCCTGGAGTTGTGATTCACTGCCTCCCAGTGTGTGCATCTGTAGGAAGCTGCACGCAGCTGTCACCGCACCTTGGCACACCAATGGAAGGGGGGGATCGCCCCCAACCCTGTCTTAACCACTATCTCAAACACTCACGCCACGTGGCTTGTATTTCTGTGTTCTAGCTAAGAAAGCCTTGCCTAAGTCAACGTTGTCATGATTTTCTCCTGTGTTTTCGTATAAAAGTTTCCTAAGCTCAGTTAATATTTTGAGATGATCACTTACTTAGTTGTTTCTCAAGGCTGAGCCTTGAGGGCTGTGCTTTTCTCTGTGGATATACGCTTATTCCAGCCCCTTTTTTGTTGCCAAGAGAATCCTGACCTTGATTCTTTGTTGGAAATTGATTGGCTGACACTACTCCTTTGATCTATCTGCTAGTAATATAGATTATTAACTGTCATGTATCGGTATATGTTAACACTTTATAATAGAAAGAGCTAGCTTATTGTTAGTTCTGTTTACATCTGGAAAATGAAGTGATGTGAGTCCTTCAATTTTGGTCTTAGTGTTCAGTTTGCTTTTGTTATCCTAGATCTTTTCCTTCCCCATTCAATTCTCAGACCTTGTTCGTCCACTTCATTTGGGATTGGCATTCTGTTAACTTACCAGTTGACTTATGGAGAACTGATATACTACACTGAATTTTGGGTCATGAACATGGTCTGTTTCTTCATTCATTTAGTATTCTTTAATAGTTCTCCAAGTTGTAGCTGAGAAGCAGGGCTGCTGGGACATGAACTGGGATCCCAGTGCGTGCAAGGCGAGCA